TAGAGCTCCTCCCGTTTGTCCTCGACCTTGATCCTGCCGAGATCAGGAGCTGGATAGAGCTCTTCGCGGGCAACAATAGCATCAACAGAGTTTCTAGAATGCTTCAGAGACGTCTGTCAGCAGCCTAGCTTGTCAAACGCAATGAATGGTGTGATAATACCTTGGCCGTTGGCATTGCCGATGCCAAAGTGGCGGCACTCAAAAGTAAAGTGACAGCCTTTCCGAAGTCACGCATTTTGAATGGTCAACTGCGTATTCTAGTAACTCTTAGGTGGGGTTATTGTAGAGGGAAGAGAGTTTTCAAGCCACGATGACTGGAAAATAGAAGGTCGTTTGTGGAATAAGGGGGGAGTTATATACGTATAACGTACTCTCTCATACTCAGATCATGCTCAGCGGTGCTTCTAGGAATATTCCAGGTGCTATTGATAAGAGCTGGTGACAGCGAGCGAGTAAGCGTCAACTCGATCCTTCGATGCAATTACCCCTCATCTTGACTCCATAGGGTAAGCTGACACTCAAAAATCAGCTTCAACATGTATCTACAGCCATACGGCATTCATACAAGGTATCCGGGAGGGGTACACTTAGGAAGGAATGCAGATCACCGGGAGCAAAAATGGCAGGTATCTAGAATGCTCCTCATTCATACGCCAGAGAGTGGTTTAGAGTTTTCTGAGCGAGTCGCTGTCGAATCCTTCGAGTGTATTTTGAAGGCAGGCAGTGCCTCTATTGCGAAGCGGCGGGGGGTTTCATCCGTCAGAGCCGGGATGTTATCATCGCGGATCTGCACTGCGGATCCAATGATCGTCCTCCCCGATTGCTGCCAAAGTCATCTAGGGCTAGAAAAATTAGAGCAACTAGATCTTCAATGCCCCACGCGATCCACTGCTATTCCTGCAAGTAGCTCCGATTTCGTCTGCAGAACCGCCAGCGCAAACAAAGTCTCATGCCGTCACTTCCAAATCTGGCATGTATCACTTCCTTCGGCCCACGCCGACTCCACAGTCACAGATAACGCCCAAGTGACAGTAATCACTTGGTGACATGTAAGCGTGATCAATGCAATGTACATTTCCCCTCCGCTTTCCGTATCTCATTTGTCTGGTCTTCCTCTTTTCTTTTCTTGCTGCGGTCGAGAAAATAACCATGCTCAGGGCTCTTTCGTTTGTTGGACTTTGATAAATCCGGCATTTTTTTCCATTCATGTCCACCCAGTCCACTCAAGTGGTAAGAGACATTGAACAAGGGTTATCAACGTTGCCGTAATAATGAGTTTCCCTTCTGTTTGGCCCTGGTCCAAACAGTCGCCAGGCGACTACAAAAGTGTCGAGACAGATTCGAGTGATGAAGAGTACAAGTACAGTGACCAGTTAAATAGCACTAGCTTGGTAGATTCTGCAACGACTTCGAGTTGTGACCACGACGAAGAAGAGTCCGGATGTCGCTGCTCAAGAGGACAATCCAAGTCATGGCCTGTTTTAGTGAAGGCCCTTGTTGGTGCAAACATTCTTCTTTTTTTGGCTTCTACAGCGCTCTTCGTCGGCCGGGTGTACCAATGGCCAACGCGACTGAACGGTGCATATAGACAAGTGACCACATACTGTAAGTTTTCCAATCTGCGTGATCTTATTACCCAGTCAATGTGAACGGTGTATTGCATTTTGTGGGCTGTGGTTTTTCTTCTCCGGTTTTTCTCTGGGTCTACTTGGTTGGAATGCACACTCATTGGTTATATAGCGCCGGTTCTGGACGATGTTGAAATTCCTTTCGTCGAGAAGCAGATCCAAGGTGGCCTGTTCCCAGCCGAAAAGACCGACGACCAACTCCTTGGTCGGAGAGAGCCCGGTCCAGAGACTGATGACCTTTGGCTTGACTTCGAAATTCAGCGGCCCTTCTTGCTAACACGAGAACAAGTTCTTGCCTTAGGCAAGGACCCCGAAAAGACGGTCAAATATCCCGACGAAGTCTTCGGTCTTGGTCCTGAGGCGTATATGGGCGGTATGGATGTCTTCCACGTTCTGCACTGCTTCAACACCATCCGCAAAGAGGCATTCAAGGACTATTACTTCGATGGCGAAAAGTACCATATGGAAGCGTATGGAGAAGAATCAACTCCACGGAGAGAACATTCAGAGCTTTTCTGGATCCATATGCGTCACTGCACGGACATCATTGTCCAGTTCCTGATGTGCAATGCAGACACCACGATGACCACGATGACTTGGCTGGAGACGCAGAGCAGGCCATGGCCGGACTTCTCGGTCAATAAGAAGTGCATTGACTTTGACACATTAGTCCGCTGGCGAGATGAGAACGCGTTGGATATCAAGGACGCGGGAATGGTGCGGAGACCACCGGGAGCCCCTGAGACCAAGATTAGTGACATGTATTGGAGGATTGTAGGGAATGAGACGCACCCCGGCGATAAAATACATCATCCGATTTGGGATTGATTATTTATGAATGTGAGCATAGTTGCATTTATATAGCGAAAGCATTGGCACGCGCAACAATTGCATATGAGAGTCTGGAAGTTGCTCAAGCCATACCATATACCACGTAGCCCAAAGAATTAGCAGGAACGACGCAATCACCTGACTGCGCAATCCGGGGAAGCGGGGAGGGGGGATAAATGTTTTCGCCGGGGCGGGTCGGTTTGGCCCACTGCAACCCAATCAAAGGGGCTGCAGAAGGTCGAGAAAGGCAACCCCGGATTTGCGCAGTCATACCAAAACCATGTACGATACGTATGCGGAGTGCCACGAGGCCCTACCAGGAGCGCTGGGGGGTTGTCTTATCCCTGAAGGTCTGGGGACGCCCAGCCCGGACTTACGCTACACAGTGCTTAGGTGATTGGGTGGTAGCTGCTGGATTGTGGGAGCATACGTATATCTAGGTACGTACGGTCAAGAGAAGTCAGGCAAATAATAAGGAATAAGGCCATGTCTACTTACGAATTGTTAACGATGATGAGGCAAGCTTCCCTTGTTCCGGGGGCGCCAGAGGGACGGTTATTCCGCACGCGCAACATATACATATACTATGTGTACACAAGCAACCATGGCACGCGTGCGCTGTGACTGTAGACTAACTTTGGAAGGCTGCAACCGGCTAATACTACTCCCGGCAAGCCCTGTTCACTTCATAACTCCCAGGTAGTAATGATGGCTAATCAATTGCTGGTTGTCTTACTCCGCACGACGTTGACCCCAACTCACTCGTCATTGGCTCAACACAGAATGCGCCATGGTGCTGAGGCCGTGCCCCCGGAATACTTAAAAGCAGTAGCATCTTCGGAGTATAGGACAGTCTATAAATCCTGAGTAACGTAGCCGTTACTGATTGTTTCTGAGCTAGCAATCCCCTGCATCTCGCTTTTCTTGTGCATCATTGACGAGTATGAGATCTTTTCACAATGTCAGCCGAAAAAGCTACTATCAAGGAAGATGACCATTTGCAGAAAAATGAGTCGAGTAACTTGTCGCCGGAGTACCGCGAATATCTCATCAGTCGGCATGGGACCATTGAGCTCGACCCTCTACCTGACATGACAGACGCTGATCCATATAACTGGCCAAAATGGATGGCAAGTCAAACATTATCCTTTTTTGTTTCCCCTTTGCATTGAATTTCTAAATTCAATAGCTTACATAAAGACTTCTCCTATTTTAGAAGATAACCAACCTAACCCTCGTTGCATTTCATGCGATGATGGGCACTTTCACTGCTGCGGCAATCATGGCAGCCTTTATCAACATAGCAGCGGACTTGAATGTCAGTGTTCAACGTGCAAGCTACCTGACCTCTCTCGTAATTGCAATCCTAGGTGGTGCACCACTTTTCTGGCGCCCTCTAGCCGATCGATACGGTCGGCGACCAATATTTCTCCTGTCATTGATTTGCTCTCTAGTCGGCAATATTGGGTGCGCCAACAGTCATTCATACGGCACAATGGGCCTGTGCAGAGCCATCACTGCGTTCTTCATATGTCCTCCTGCCGCTATTGGTAGTGGTGTTGTTACCGAGACCTTTTTCAAGAACCAAAGAGCTCGGTATATGGGGATATGGACAGTGATGGTAACTATAGGTGTGCCCATTGCCCCTCTTCTTATGGGATTTGTCGCCGCTCGCGTCGGTTATAGGTGGATTTACTATATCCTTGCCATCGTACGTTGTGCCGTCTTAAAACTACGGTGAGTTAGGAAGAATACTTTCGCTAACAGTTCAAATTTCTAGACGAACGGTGTTCAGTTTATCCTTTACTTTTTCTTGGGAAATGAGACACGATATGTCCGTGAAACGACCCCGAACACCACTGGTGACGGATTACCGATGACTAGACGAGGATTATTTCAGTTTGGACGTATTGACAGAACCCCGTTGAGACTGAATGACTTCTACCACCCACTGACATTCGCTTTTCATCCATGCATTTTCCTTCCTGCCATTGCCTATGCCATGGTGTTCCTCTGGACCAGCATTGTGCCAACGGTGGAGATTCCACAGCTTTTCCCCGTGATTTTTGGCTTGGATACGGAGCAGAATGGTCTCCAAATGATCAGCATTATCATCGGATCGTTCATTGGCGAGCAGATCGGTGGCTTCATGTCTGATAAATGGATGGCAAGGCGGCGTCAACAGCAGACAAAGAAATCAGGCATCGACAATGCCGAAGAAGGCAGGTCACTTCCTTTAGCAGGTGAAGTGCTTGTTGAGCCTGAGTTCCGCCTCTGGCTGGCTTATATCGGATATGCACTTGCCATTTGCGGGTTTGTGGTGTTTACCGTGCAGATTGGAAAGGCTTCCAGCTCCTGGAATGTCACCCCGCTTGTTGGCGCGGCTATTGGCGCGGCTGGAAACCAAATCGTGACGACAGTGAACATTACCTATGCGGTAGATTGCTATCGCGTTGAAGCTGCTAGTGTGGGAGTCTTTATCACCTTTGTCAGACAAACATGGGGTTTCATTGGACCCTTCTGGTAAGTCACCCATCATCGCATCCCCTAGTCTTGCTGCTCTACTCCGCACAAACGTCTCGAATAATAACTAACCGCTAGTTAGGTTCCCACAAATGTTCGAGAATGTCGGATATAATGGCAGCGCCGGCATTGGCGTGGGTCTCATAGTTGCTATTAGTGTTATCCCGACGGTCATCATCCAGTGGCTAGGTCATAAATGGCGATAGCGTTGGAAACGTTTTTGACAAGGATATGACTATTCCTTTCAGTTGTGAATTCTTTCAGATGTTGTCTTGTAGACATTCGAATGAAAATCCCGGACACTCCTACCTCAAATACAATTGTAGAAAGTAGTCAGTTGGCCTAGCACGTACGCGACCAACTTCCACCGCCCCACAAATCTGAGTCCGGACGACAGTCGGACAGAGTATACGTACTTCGTAGTCACCGCAATCGGAGTGTAAAGTTGCCTTGCTACATGGTTAAGACCCCTCCTAGCGGACCTTTTGCCTATGATGGCAATGCTTTGTTCTTTCTGCTATGCAATTTCAACTTTAAAAGGCGCTGAGTTTGGCAGACGGCGAATCAATTGAGCCCGTCCAGGCCAGACTGTTGGTTTTCCCCATTATTGGGTGTTCCAGGCTGGCTGAATGGTTGGGGTCCGGGTTGACTGTAAAAAAATAGCTGCCTTGGCAGCCTCAGGCCCCTGACGGGCTTCAAAGTTTTAAGCTTCCCCTAAGCCCCGTAGCTCAACACACTGTGATTGGCTACTTGAGCCGCGCGCGACGTCACCTGCAATTTACGTGGTTTATCTTTATTGACTTACACCCCGGGGTGTAAGTCTCTGTGCACGATGCCATCTTCCAGCGACGCCTACTAGAGCAGCAATCAGATGCAATGGCTGGCATGGGCAGGAGGTCCAAGGCCTGCGACACTTGTCGTCGTCGGCGCATCAAATGCGGTAGGTGCTTTTCTTAAGCTTTTCTCTTAGTTTCGCGAAAAGTCGGCTCTGAACCCTTTGTTTTTTTCTTTTTCGGAACAGATGAGCGAAAACCATATTGCTTGAGATGCATCAAGTCCAAAATAGAATGTAGCGGCTACCCCGATATGACCATTATTCTATACGATGGACGGCGACGTCACACAATTTCTCCTGCAGCTTCTCCTGAGTCGCAGAACCGATGTACAAATATTGCTCCTCAGTCAACATCGAACGCGTCACCGGAGCTCGCAGAAACAGGTTGGCTGACTGCTCTTCATATTCCATTGAACCTGGACGATGTATTTTTACAGTATACGCGTTCAAAGCTTTTCCAAGGCTCCAATAGAGTGGATGTTGTTCTGCCTGCCCATGTGGATAGAAGCCTAATGACCAAGGCGTTTCTGGCGCTATGCACCACATTTTTTGGCCTAGAGCATAAGGAAAAAGGCGTCATCAGGCAGGGATTTCAACGTTATGGCCATGCTTTAGAACATATCCACCGGGCACTCGAAGATCCAGTTCGGTGTGCCTCCTTCGACCTTCTGGAGTCAATTGCAGTTATGTCGGTATTCGAGGTATGTACTGCTGTTGCTCTGGCTTTTTTTTTTCTTTGCAATAGGAGGGGAGGAATATCTCTAATAGTGAAAAAGCTAACACGACGTTGCACCTGCCTCCCCTTTCTACTGGGTAGTTTATCATATCTGACGACTGGACTGGCTGGCTCAGCCATTTGGTCGGCCTTGAGAAATTGTTCTCTTTCCGTGGGCCGGAATCATTCATTACATTTCCAGAACTTTTAATACTAGAAAAATCACGGGTATCGATTATTACATCCTCCTTACTTGTGCGACGGCACACAATCCTATCAAATCAAGAATGGAAGGCTATTCCGTGGACATACTTCCCGGAAAGAAAAAACTCCATGGAACTGCTTGTCGATATCCTTGCTGACTGTCCGGCGCTCTTCGCTGACCAAATGCAACTGCTGTCCAATCGAAATTTGGCCATAACGAATCAGGTGGCGGCGGGGTTAAAACATTTGCTAGGTCGGGCGTATCGTCTCTTAGACCAACTTGAAAAATGGAAGGAACAATGGGATTTGGATAATCCGGGATACTGCCACGAAATTCCTGCTCCATTTCCGAGGCCGACCTCTTTTGGTTGGCAAGGCGAGAAAGACATGGAAACGCCAATTTGGACGACAATACTTAACTATGCATCTGTATATCACGCCAACACGATGGTATTATATGATGGAACCTTGATCCTCCTTCTCAGATACATCCAAGGTATTATGAATGAACTAAACATCCTCGCAGCACCTACAGACCGCCAGTCCTTTGACCTTTGGGAAAGATCATACGCCGCTAGCCTGGCCATATGCCGCAGTGTGGAATATCACCTGCAGGGCATGCGACGAGGGGTTGTCGACTTTCATCTCATGTTTCCGCTAAGAATGGCAAATCAGACTATTGGGGACTCCAACCCCGCTATTGGTCTTTGGATTCAAGATGTTTTGCAGCAAATCCGAGACGGCCAAAGTAGCAGATGGACCTTGGCCAAATATTTACTGGAGGTACAGACTGTCCCTGGTGCTTTACTGCAAGCGACTTGAGCTGTGTGGATTGAATGGCAAAAAAGAAGAGTACAAAATGGCGCACAATGGTATGTGAGGTTGAAGAACCTTTGGAATCCATAACAGGTTTTTTATATACGGCTCTAAAACAGTCAGCAGTCAGTGACATAATTCGGCTGTATCAGCTTGTCTCTCGACCGCAGCTAGCAGACTGTTCCTTACCTGCTGGTTATCCCATCTGCTGGAGTCGGCGACCAGCTGCCTTGCCGCCTCGTGCCTTTGAAGTAACACTTCTAACCCGCTCAGACCTATTTTTTGTACAATTGCACGAGCTAAATATACCGCTATATAGATGGAAGCAGAGGCCGACGTGCGTGCGTGCGTAGCTATGCTGGGGTGGGATATGTTGTGTTTGATTCGGGTGTGTTGTTTCACATATTTCTGTCGGGTATTTTATTAATTTATAATCATTCCTTTGGGAGTTCTTGAAGTTACATCCTTGGGACGCCATCCTGGATAGTGCTTACATTTTATGGACTAGGTAGTATAAAAACATACTGGAACCGCCAGGCAGATTAGTGAACTACTACGAGCTTACAACCTTAATATCTACGACGGACGTATATTTTCGGTGGAATATCCCACTGCACGTAAAGCTTGCAACCTACACGTGCAGCTTGGTGGATCATCTTGGATGTTTATACTCAAACATATAGTATCGTTTTCAGCCGTCGGCGGCCCCGTGAGTTAGGATTAGAATTAGGTGACGGGCTTGGTTTTGCAACGTGGGGGTTGAAAGCTGACGCCTCCTGTAGGTATGAGAGAAAAGAACAGAAGAGCAGAAGAGTAAATAAAGCAACCAAGCGTACTATCCTATTGTTTATAAAATGTAAGCATTACTCTGTCCTTTCCCCCTTGTATTTTTGCGCCTTCGTTCTTTCATTTCTCAATCCAGCACCATTGCAACATGGTTTCCACAACGTTTGTGACCACGATTTTAGGCATTGTGGCCTTGTCCTCTGCACATCGGTGGAAAAATGATGTCCCCGGAACGATCGAGCTGCCATTGACACTCGTCGAAGCAGCTGCTGGCGAAGGGCCTCTTTACCTGGTCAACATTTCTATCGGCACGCCTCCTCAAGAAGTCACTGTGCAGATTGATACTGGATCTTCCGATCTGTGGGTTTTTGCATCGAATGTAAGTTTAATTCTCGAAGTTATGTGTACAATCCATCTCACTGTGAATGTATACTATAGGTCGAATGTGATAATGCCTACGGTTGTCTTGGAAGCTCGTTCGTTTCAAACGCTAGCAGAACCTTGGTAGACGATATGCCGAACAAGTTTGTGTATAGCTATGGCAGCGGTGCGAACGGTACCGGTGACTTTGTCACTGATGACCTTCATATCGGTGGCAAGACTATCAAGAATGCACGGTTTGGCATTTCTCACGACGCCTACGGGTGAGTCATTTGCCTTTTGCGAAATGAATTCTCATGTCCTTTTGAAGCTTTTTGCGCTAAGCTATCCCTTCATGAATATTAGTATCAGCCCTACATACGGCATCATGGGTCTTGGATTCCCCGGCGGTGAAGCTGCAGTACAGTCGGGTCTTTCGGAATACAATACTACAGTCATGGCTATGAAAAACCAGGGTGTCATCAATTCAGCCGCCTTTTCTATTTACCTGAACGATGTTGACAGCGAAGGAAGCATCTTATTTGGTGGATATGACACGGCCAAATATTCGGGCGACTTAAAGACGCTTAACGTGATTGAGTTTGATGACGCTTACGGCGTTCGTTCTTTCTACATCCCCCTTATATTGGAACAAACAAAAGACACTAATACTCGAAAAACTTTTAGCAATGGTACATCAACCTAACGGCAATTGGAACATCAACAATCTCTAGCGACGGGTCATCTTCAACATCATGGTACGGTAATAGCAGCGTTGCCGGAGCAGCCTTTATCGACAGCGGCAGTCCGAAAATTTTCGTCCCTGGGAATGGTGCCATGAATGTTATCTTGGACCTTGGAGGCGAGTATGACTATAGCTTGTCGTCCAGTTTGATACCTTGTTCGGCCAAAAACAAAACAGATGTCACTGTCGATGTGTTGCTAGGCGGAAGCAACGGGCCTCTGATCCAGATCCCAATACATCAACTAATTGAACCGTATACCGGAGGAAACGTGACCATCGACGGGGAGGAGGCCTGTTCATTTGGTGTAAGTCCTGGCCCGGATGGCTTCCAGATTCTCGGCGATGCGTTCCTTAGAGGTGCATACACCGTTTTCAACATGGACAACCATACAGTGTCAGTGGCGGACATCAAATTGAATGTGAAGGAAAGCAAAATCATTGCTTTGTAAACTTTCTACAGAATCAGGATTTCTTGGATGGCCAGCAGGCAACGAAAAATGTACATATAAAAACTTGGGTTGCATTTTTATGAGTTTGATGAAATACATGATCAAAATTGCCCATAAAGCTAACCACTAGGAATTAATACACTGTCACACAATTCTAGACCGGGCCTACCTCGCCGGCTTCTCCCGGAGGATCGGTGCTAATAATGTAACCTTAGATAACCCTATAAATTATTTCTTTATGGCTGTGACATTACTCTAAGCAGTTTAGTGGAAATATAAATAGGTATAGCCAAGGGCTGTAAGTTGTAACATTCTCGAGGACTAAAAGCAGGAACCCTGTTCAAGCCTGCAGATGTAAAGGACTAATGACAGATATTAAATATGCAATAAATATTAAATGCTTGACTACTGGTAGTGATAGAAGCTTGGCAGTCGGAACTAGATGCCTAGGTAGTTTCCACCAATGCATCGCTGGGACGAAACAATGGCAATATCGAATACGACGTTGATCACACGGTTAATGTTCATCGGAGAGAATGGCGGAGCTGACAGAACTAATTATCAGTATAAAAATAGTCGTAGATCGCGCTGTAGCCTTCCTGTCATCTGCCTTCGCTATTACGTTGAGAAAAGGGAAATAAATATTTGTAAAACGGATTGCCTTTCACGTTATTGTTCAGCATGCGTATGCAACAGCTCAGCATCCTCTCTATCCCTGTGATAGCTGCAGCTAGTGGCCTCACAGACCTACCATCTCTTCAGGTGCCAGAATGCCCTGATCTAGCCACTGCCACCATCAATCAGTCTGTTCCTGATCGGACTCTCTTCCCCTTGACCACCGCTTCACTATGTTACAACGAGTCGTCATTGCAGATCACATTTAAAGCATACAACGAAACAAACTACTATTACAACGCCAATCAGACCACCAATGGCGACATTTGGGAATACGAGGTAATGGAAGCATTTCTTTACCACGGTCAGAACGACCCAACGACCTACTTTGAATTCGAAGTCAACCCCAATAATGTCACCTACCAAGCTGTAGTTTACAACCCCTCTAAGGTGCGCGCCACCGACGCCCCCTTCGACCATTTCTTCGTGACCGAGCCGGCCGCAGATGGATTTGCGGCAAAAACAACACTGGACAAGCATGCGGGAACTTGGATTTCTACAGTGCACATTCCACTAGCAATTTTCGATGTGGCCGAGCTTCAAGGCTCACAGTGGCGCATGAATTTCTTCCGCACAATTACCTCACCGAGCACATATCCAAACCAGACGCTAGGCGCGTGGAGTCCAACTGATGAGGCCAACTTTCACATGAGCCCGTATTTTGGTAAAGTGACTTTTGTCTAGGTTATGGTGCTACTGTTAGGAAGTCTGTTTCCAGGTTTCGTGGTGTTGATAATCATTGCCCTGTTTCTGATGCTCACGTCAGGGCCTATCAGTATATATTTGGTTATACAAAATGTTATCGCTGTAAGTATGATGCAGATTTTCATGTATTTAGCCAAATTTTCCTTTCGCATGTACAACGGGTCTTTTTTTTTAATGTCAGGAGTTAACCTCGCGATCTTGCCACCCACACATCAGGTTGAGGAACGGTGGATATGCCACATTATACGGACAGCATGTGGAGTAGGTTGCTAATACTGACGATCTTTGAGTGCGTCACAGCTTCCGCAATGCTGTTACATGTATGCGTGAAATACCTCTAGAACTCCAACGGCAATTAGAAAAGCCCACTTGCGGTCAGAGGTTAGAGATGATGCAGCCCCCGTGTATTGAGAAGCTGCTACACTAGACGTTGTAGAGACATTGGAAGCCTAGTTATTTTCATATGTTAGTAGATTCCTCTTCGACATGTAGAAGATACATACAGTGCCAGTGGCACCAGCCTGGCTACCAGGTGTTTGAATAGCAGCCGTAGATGATGTAGAAGAAAATGCCGTACTAGACGTGGTAGCTACCACTACAGTGCTGGTGTAAGGGCTTCCTGTTGCTGAAGCACTCACAGTCGCCGACGAAGAGCTTGGAGTCGCATCGTCACCACATGCGGTCGCTGCGGAGGACACTTCACTGCCATAATACTGCCAGATATCATACGTCAGAGCACATTCGAGGCACGAGCTCAAATCCGACGTGAAGGTAGAATTCGAGCAGTAGTTCGAAGACTCCGAGATAAGAATTGCATAACCTGTTTCCATGGGTTTAGCTTATGCGGCAAAGAGGTGAGTACCTGTGTGCATATGTACCACAGCTTGCATGGCACTCGTAGAGGGGAGTTCCCGGTTCAAGATCTTGACGTTTCTCTAGCGGCAGAAGTTCTGAAAGTTCCACGGCCCAACCACAGATGAGGGTCGAGAGCAAAACTACAGCTCCAAGAAAGACCATTTTGAATCAAGTAACGACGGTACAGTATAATTCCCGGTGCAGTAAATCTTTGATCGTAAGGGAAATGGCGGTAGTAGAAAGTCAGTGACGAATTCAGATCAAATTGCGCAGGTAAATAAACTCTTACATTAGGTAGAAGACTACGAACGGCCTTCGATGGATACGTATTCATGCCGAGTATAAATGTAGTCAGACTTATTCTAGGAACTAGCTCATAGAATAGGCAGGCCGAGTTTCGGAGTTAAGAACAGAATATGCATAAACGTTGACCACAGATGGCAGTGGAATCACGCGGATGCAATTTTACCGGAGCCCCTCAGCCAATTGAACAATGTACAGCACGTCAGTGCGTGCCACCGAGGATGTACTTGCGGAGGAGAAAAAGCCTCATCGGGACAGTTTTTGGGTTATCTGATCCGAACGTGTCCCACATTTATAGATTGAACATATAGTTTTGTTGGCTGCCGTGCATAGCTCGAGAATGGATAGCCAATAGACGCACATGAAAGAATCTTATCTGATCTTATCTGATCCTTTCTGCCACGCTTTTCTAGCAGCAAAGTCTGGCCTGCCGTCATGCAACAACCCACTCACGAAGACCGCCGCTCTAGGTTTAACTTCCTATTTTTCTTCGTTCTGCTTCCGATTACTACTTGTCGTTGCAACCCAAAGTTTGCGCATATGACTCATAGCCCATGTCATATCGCCTAAAATATCTTTTGTCGGCATGTCTTGGTTCTGGTATCAAGGAGATAATGGCACTGGTTATGTTGGGTTCTTGACTTAGCCTCTGATATCCGCAATATACAAGTGAGGGGCTGGTGGGCGGCCAGCTACTTTGGGGATTTATAAACCTCGACACGACTGGGCTTCCGTTTTTATCTCGTGCGTTTAGTCCTGACTCTCCCTCGCCTCTGCACTACTACAGAGGTATAGTTGGCGCTCAGTATGAAGGCAGTTGCATATGCAGTGAGCCTAATTAGCCTTTTGGCTCGAGTAACCATGGCTCAACTTGATGACGATATGGGTCCTGCTGCCTTTTTATGGCCAACAAATCGAGTTTTCTCTGCTGTCAATGACAATACAGCACCTTGTGGCTCAGCAGCGGGAGTTTCAAATCGAACAGACTTTCCCATGAGTAGGTATTTCTAACATTAGTAATCACTAAACAATCAATACTAACTTCAGACCAGCGAACGGCGAAGTTGCCCTTGTGCTCCAAGACGACTCCTACAATATCAACCTGGCAATTTCGTACAATGACAGTGAGTAATTCAGAATTCCCAGCTACATCGATTGACTCTAACTTATTTCAAGATCCCACCAGCAATCGCGACTTTACAACCTTAGTATCGTCAAGCGACTTTCCTGAACTGGAGCCTGGGCATGAATGTTACGCAGTTCCCAATGCCCCATCAAGCGTCTCTTCAGGGTCTAACGCAACATTACAACTCAGTTATATTTCCGCGTTTGAGACAGATACCAATAGCACCTTTTACGTCTGTGCGGATATTAGATATGTCCCGCTGTCGCAATTTACCACGGATATTCCATGTTTCAATGTATCTATTGACGATCCAACGGCCGTGACTTCTTCACAGATTGGCGGTGCTACCGCCACTTCAACCGGATCCGGATCAACTTCGACATTGTCAACTAGTTCGGGAGGAAGTAGCTTATCGGGTGGTGCGATTGCTGGAGTCGTCGTTGGCGTTGTTGCTGGTGCAGCACTCATCGCGGGAGCTGTACTCATGTTGTGGCGGCATTATCGACAAAAGGCACTTCGGGAAAGAGCAATTGCGATCAAAATGAGTGAGCTTACGAACCCAACTCGCTCGGATGATCGAATGTCTTGACGCCTCTTACGGTACTAGCGAGGGGGGATTCTGATCCTTGGGTAGCTTGTCCTGCACTGGAACAAGAAACTTATTGTGAATCTTTATGTTAGACGAATCTCACACATGCTTTTGATCTGATGGCCTAATGCCCAGTGTCCATTTATCGTGAAGAACGGAAGGGCACAGGCTGTTTAAGTTGGCAAGAGCCACGAGAAGCTTTTTATCTTTTCTCTTGTCCTTTTCTTGGCTATTCTCTCCAGCTTCCGAATTTATTCAATTATATCAAATGAAATTTCAGGAAAGAAGAAAACTATCTGGGAACGTATGATTTCGATCACTGTACCAAAAAGCAAATTCGCACATCAACCCATGCCAGCAGTAGTTATACAGGGCGGGCCTCTTATCGTTTGTAATTATATAAACCATGGACACCCTCTCTGAATGACTGCGATAAATCTTTCTAGCACCCTTATCAAGCCTTAATCATGTTATCATGCGCTCCTCAAAAGGTATTTTCACGTCTTACAACTAGTAGCGTATGCTAACTTAATCTCCTGGAAACAATAAAAGCATGCTCTGCTAGGCCCAGGGGATATTGATGCCTTAGTAAAATGGGGTCGATGAGGTATACACAGTAGTCAGTGTCATCATGAACAAATCACAACCAAATTCCTCGAAAAACTCGCTATTCTCGGGTTCTTAAGCAAAAAAGAGGTCTTCTTGAAAATAATCTTAACCTAATAAGATAATGTCTTGAGGTTTCATCCGCTCTGCAAGGACAAGATGTCTTTTAAGTCGCTTCCTTGTGAAGTGCTCTTACTCACAAGCAATAATTTGGACGCAGCAGACCTCAACGTGCTGGGTAGAACATGCAGCTCCCTGGCCAGTCTGTTAGAGCCTTTATTATATCAACAAGCTGTCAAAAGCGGCGAATATACATCCAATTTTTTGTGTGCGGTCATATATGGGCAAACGAATGCGGCTTATAAGTTTCTGAACGCAGAAGTTCTTAACGGACACATTCAACCGCTATACTGGCTATCCTGGAGAAGCTAAACTAGAATCTGGAACTTTAGTCAGTCTTCAAAAGAGAGTTGCTTTAAGGGAAAGATTCCATCCACTCCCAGCTGCTGCTTTCTTTAGTCACGTCGATGTGACAAGGGTGTTGCTCAGTGAGGGCAATGCGAATATTGAATTCCAAGATCGCTTTAACCACACTGCGCTACATTATGCTATAAAGGCTGATCGTTCCGATATAATCATTCTACTACTGGAACAAGGAGCGGAAATAACAGATATCGACGACAACAAAAGGAATAAAACGGCCAAACGATTGTCGCCCTTCGTCCACACAGCTGCATTTGGCAATAAACGTGCAGTTGACTTTATGCTTAATGAACTTCAAAGACGAAGCAACCACTCCAAGCTACGTGGACCAGAGAAGGCGGCATTTGTCAATAGTATCAAACGCCAGTGTGAAGAAGCATGCTATAAAGCATGCCTGAACGGTTATACTGATATTGTTGATTTCCTCCTTCACCGAGGGTTAATGTCAATCTTTCTATTAATCAAGGACGATTACTTTATTGGGCACGGCCCGTGGCCATATTGCAACAGCCAAGTTACTAGTGAAACACGGAGCGACAATGGAGTGTGAGAGGGATTGCAAAGTTGTGGCTGTGATGCAAAGGGGTAGCGGCTTTGTGCGAAAAGCAAAGTCTCTATTGTTCTTAGAGATTGCCATGTATTTTCTGAGATCTGGTTGTAATGTTGCAAATGGTGGTCTACATGCTTGCGCTTTGTGGTGTACGGCAAACGGCAGCGGGAACTGGTATTATAGAACAGAACGCCAACAAGAGGAAATCAGGAGCCTCCTACTCAAGAATGGCTTCGACCGGAAGAAATGCCGGCACAACTGCTTGAAGGCTCGTGGGATCAGTTCGTTAGAAGAGGGATTGTGTAAAGGAACCTTAATGCAATATGTAACAGACCAGAGGACGCGAAAATGGAGGGACTAGACGAACCTCACACGCGCCTATGATCGGTCTAATGACATAGTGTCCAATTTCAATTTAGGAAATTGAGATGAATCTAACTGTTAATTAGTACCGTATCTTTAGAGATATCTTAAGTAATCACGCAATACCTTAGTTAAATTGTCCGTTGACAGATGCAGCTGTGGCAATTCAAGCTTTCATGGCATTGTGGATGTATGTACTTCCGTAGCATTGGTAGTTGACAGGAATACTATGAGTATGAGGTGAAAACCTAGATGGAGTGAAATATAAATAATGAATTGCAATTAGGCTATCATAGAATTGTAGCTCCTTCCTGTCCAACCACTGAGAATCAATCTCTGGAACTGGAGATCTGTAGTGCCATATAAACTTATTGGCCTTTTACTGGGTGGGTTTGATGGAACTGCGATAGACCTATTCAAAAAGGAAAAAAAAAAACCAAAGGCAAAGGCAACAAAAAATGTCGATAACGGACGGATTCGAACCGTCGCATCCGAAGATACACGCTTAGCAGGCGTGCGCCTTAACCACTCGGCCACGTTACCATGATCATTTCTTGGTAATTTTTACGTTTTGGGATTAGTATTGCCGCCAAATCCAACTATTGAAGAACAAAAAAGGTAAGGCAAAGGCAGTAAAAAATGTCGATAACGGACGGATTCGAACCGTCGCATCCGAAGATACACGCTTAGCAGGCGTGCGCCTTAACCACTCGGCCACGTTACCACGTTCTTAGTAAGGTTCACATTTTGGACCTAGTACTACTGGCAAATCCGAAAATGGTTAGTGTCAAGAACAACAAGAACAAGAAAACAATATTATACCTGATAAATCTAGCGTCGATAGTAGTGTTAGGCTTACTAGCTAGATCATATATAAATTGGCTTAGCTTTATCCTTCAAACTGGTGTTCAGGAGAAAAATAATGAATGTATTCTTGATCGCTTAGTTTATGTTACGAACCCAGCTTGCATGACACTAGTTGAGACTAGTACTTGTGGGAAAAAGTGCTTTGCCGTAACAGCTGAAGCAACGACCGGTTATTATCACGCACCAACACGGGAAGGGATAGCTAGGAACACGGACCTATGGGTGATATAAGCAAGAGGGGCATGTGACTATATACACTTAGATGGTGCAAGGGAGTGTAGGAGAAGTGTATACACGAGGGGGGCAGTTATTAGATATACACCTGTGTATATACCAGGGGGTGTAGGAAGAGTGTAGGATGGATGATCTATATAAACACAATTGCTCATTATATATCTAGTTGTTCTGAATAGTTCTTTAATCTAAATTACTTGATTATACACTGAGAGGGTCAGCAAGGCAAACCTATTTGAAGTATTATAATACTTTGAAGCGCTTCTTCTATTTTAGTTGTGAATGATTTTTATTACAAAGTTATTTCCATGTTCAACTACTGGCAAATTACCCTGGTTCAAAGATTGTATCGTACCTTGACACAGCCAGTGACGACTAAGGTGGATCCAGGCGTGACAGTTTAGCGTGACATCTCTTTCTAGTTTAGCGTGGAAGACACAACACGACATTCAACAAAATCGGCTGCCAAAAAAACTTTGCGTTGGGGCATGCTTTCATCTTCCAATCTCATAGAGGAAAAGAAAAGGAAATAATGAAAAAGAGAAAAAGAAAATGGAAGAACAAAAAATTGTCGATAACGGACGGATTCGAACCGTCGCATCCGAAGATACACGCTTAGCAGGCGTGCGCCTTAACCACTCGGCCACGTTACCCCGTTTGACTGTGGCAAAAATAACTCACTTATATAACTGCTACAGTATTTCCGTGGTTTAAAGCATTTGTCTCAGAACTTCCAATTCTGTTCAATTAGCTTAGAGGGAGTCCTTCGGTCGAGTAGTCTCAGCCTGGCATGCCTGGTATCTAAGAACAATCCGTAATGAACTCCCTGTATCAAAGCAAGTTTTACTTGTAAAAGTGAATACCATTGAATAGAACATTTTGTTTCGAATTGAATGCTTCGGGAAATTGAACGACCAAACCTAGGTATAAGACAATTCATGTCAGTAAACCCTGATTCTCCGCATCTCTAAGGAAGTGGCTTGTACTTCCATCGGCTTGTATTCCCAGTGATCATTTTATCTGGTGTGTTATATATCTCATTAAGTATGGTTCTAATATATGCTTGTAGTGTTCCAGCAGAACCTTGGTCGATTTGAAATATTTCTTCTACTAAAGAAATAAACTTTTCTACCTAAGTCTACATAGTAGCATTGCCTTGTTAATAATGGGATTTTGTTCTACTAAAATGGCTGGGCTATATAGCTCTATGGACCATTTATTGCGTCTCCTAGTATTAACTAACATTATTCCCTTAGTAGAACTGGTTTCCTCATTTTATTCTACAAAAGCAGGCGCCTCAAGATTTCGGCGAATCAACAGCCACTTTCTATTATCTGAATCTCGTGATTGTATAACGGCAAGAGTCAGCTAATACCTTTCAGTTGAATTTGGCGCTATTAATTTAAGTGAAGGTGACACGATGTTCAAGCTGAATAACGGACATGTTGTTTCGCATGTATTCGACGGGAAGCGCTTGGTTCTAGGCCATAGAACATGGCAAATATGTGACATAACAGATCCGCTTCTGCGAAGCGTTGTGGAATCATGTCGAATTCATTCTCAAGTTACCAACAACGATGGGGGGGTCTTTTTTGGGAATGGGACATTGGCAAGCTGGAGGTCATAATGAGAGACAAGATCATTTGTATCAGAGATGGTCGATCTTCAAATGACGACGACTACAGGTGTCTACTTGGTTTCCCGGACGAGTATACACCACGAAGAGGGGAAGACAACACCAGGTATGGCATAGAATTTGGACAACAGTTCACGATAAAGCAAGTCTATCTTCGATCACGGATTTTAGGGAGGGCACGCAGAGGATCAGGTAGTGCACAGAGTCGACCAGCCTCTCAAAGCAATACGCCAGTTCTCGAAGGTTCGCTGACTGGTATCCAACAAAGCATGCTTGCCAATATCGGAAATGCATAATTGTCGGGCTAGATCTACAGGCGAAGACTGAAGATTTATACTAGGGAAGAAAAATTGAAGGCAATTGATTTCTATCGAACACGAAAACATCTGAACCCAAACACAAGGCAAGAACGTACCATGCCTATCGCAAGTGCAGCTGAGGTTCTCTACGTCAGCTCTTCCGATCATCCTGTCCCCTTTATCAGGATCGAGGGTCGTCGAGCTTGCGGTCTTACTGCTTTCGAAGAAGCGAATACTTTCCTTGGGCATTCAAACCAGGTCCATCACGCTGGACATCCAACTGAGCTTTCGGATTGTGAAAAGATGAGGACCTCTATTCAAGTCCTCGAGATTTATGTTCCAAGCTCCTACGTGAGGGCCGCAATATTGTCGAGCTCAATCAGGAACATGAAACCCCAAGAAATCAACTCTTATCTATACTACCTCTCGCCGAAGTATGCCTACAAATTGCTGGGTTCTACCAAACGAGATGCCTGTTATCAAGAGCTCGCCCGCTGTGTTGTACCAATTACGAATTGCTAGTGGCCTGGATTTTCCGCGAAGCACACTAGAGAAGCTAGCAGTCATGTACTCCAAGCCTGGAAAAACCTGGATTATAAATTTTGAATTTATCAATCCATTTCATCAATATTCACTGATTCCATTGCAAGTAGCCATTCGGCAAATCGATGGCAAATTACTGTATTCTGGAAATGTGGACTACCAGCTGTCCATGCAACAATACATTGATACTGCTTCGCCTTATGTCTCGACAAAGCATGGAATGATGGGCCTAATATTCTTAAGGTGCTATGGAGGATTACAGACCAATGGAGAGTCACCTTTGGCCATTAGCAATCATAATCGCACTGTGTGTGGATACGACGAAGAAGTCCAACTGCTATCGTGGGTTTCGGCTATTGACATGCAATGTTTTCTGCGAATTCTGACTGGAGACAATGGCCTTATTCAAAAAGGGTCTCTCATCTGAACGCATCGAACTTTCAAAAGCTCGATGTGAGTAAGCTGTGCCGTCAATTGTTTCCTGACCTGACATCAGGCACTCTCGAGAAATACCTTGGCAAGAACACGAAGGTGGCCAACGGTGAAACTTATTATCACGCATCCTACGATACTGCGGCAGTGATGGACATCATTAAAGTTCTAGTAGAGTTGCTTTGAGGACAGTCGAGGTAGCTACTACGTCTTTAGATGATAATGTACCAATAACCAAACAAGCATGATTTTGATGCTACTGGCACTTTCTATCATATTAATGCGCAATGCAATATGTGCTAGATTCTTCGTGGTGACGTCAAACGTTGCCTGGTTTAATTAATAATAATATTAGTGGTAGTAGTAGTAGTATAAATTCATTGGATATGAGTCAATATGAGTCATGCACGACTAAACTGGATTATCAGCATTATGTATGCCCGGAGTTAACTGTGGATATAAGGATGCCAGCCCGCGGTTATCCATCTAGTACTGTAGACTTCTTTGAAATGCGTGTATAAAAGCGTCCATCTGTCTCACAAACTGACCATTGAAGCTTCAGCACATAGACTCAATCAATACCATGGCGTCCTCAAACACAGACCAGTCCAAACCCCAAAATCTTGCGGGCAAAATTGCAATAGTGACTGGGGCGTCTCGCAGTATCGGCGCCGGCATAGCACTTGAGCTGGCACAAAGGGGAGCCAAGGTAAATCTCAGGTTTTCTTGGGGTGCAGAAGAACAAGTCTCATGCTTTTTCTAGGTAGCCATAACATATACACAATCCAAAAGCGATGCCCAAGCGCAAGGTGTAGTCGACCAAATCAAGGCTCTGGGCAACGGCAGCTCAGCCATCGCAATTAGGACAGACTTGCGACTGGCGTCGTCTGCCAAAGTGATCGTTGATGAGACCGTCCGAAAATTTGGCCCCCATATTGACATCCTTGTCAACAATGCGGGAGTGGAACTGGTCAAGTCGATCGCGGAAATCACCCCTGAAGATTTCAGTTTTGTGTACGATCTTAATGTTCGTGCACCAATGCTTTTGATGAAGGAGGTTCTGCAGTACCTGCGCTCTCCAGGACGGATTGTGAATGTGGGATCGGTCGCTGCCAGATATGGTTTCAACAGTTTGTCCGTGTACTGCTCGACGAAAGCGGCAATAGAAGCATTGTCGCGTTGCTGGGCTGCAGAGCTAGGTGGTGCAAAACATACTGTTAACACAGTGAATCCGGGACCTGTATCGAGCGAGCTGCTCGACAATATTCCTCAGGATATTATCGACATGCAAAAAGCAAACACCCCGGCGGAGAAGAGACTGGGGACGGTTGATGATGTTGCACAAATCGTGGCCTGGCTTGCGAGCGAGGAAAGCAGATGGGTGACGGGACAGGCTATATCGGCGAGCGGTGGCTTTGTGATGTACTGATTGAGTGTATACCGAGTGATGAAAGGCACCCTGTTGAGTTGTGAGATCTTTTGGAATGTATTTGGTCGTGTCGGAAGGCCTCGCTATTACAAGAGCGCTTTCCAGCAGTATATTCATATCGCAAAACGAATGTTGTTTCTTCTAAGTAATAGCCAGGTTTCCATAACTACGGTAACCGATTCTGTATTCAAACGTTGGACAAGCATATATGAGGACTTCTTTCTCGAGTATACGTACTGCTCACCAAGACCTGCAGCTCTTAACAGCCCCCAAGCTATTTCCACTCCTAGCTCCATGACAGGGTTTTCAGATAACTGGTGGAGATAAAGACATACCTAGGTTTTTGTGAATTCTTAAGGCATTTGATAGTGTCAGTTGTATGTTAGTTACATTGTAAGGTACGAGTAAGGTACTTCAGGATACTTTTAAGCTCAGTCGAATTATTAGATATACATGCTTCCAAGATTGCCCTCCTTTGATTCCAATCAATGCTTCTCTAAAACGATGATCGAATAACTCCTTTTTACGTCGAATGTGTGTATCTGAACGATCTTCAGTCCAGCCTTTTCCACAAGCTGATGCCAGTTTCTGCTAGTACGTTCAGCACCGGCAAAAGCAACCATCATTGACAGATCAGCCATAGTGGACTGCAAGTTAGCCCCGGTGTCTGGGAGCACGACCTCGTCCAACAGAATCCGAGAATCGTCAGCAAAGACATCGGCAAGCTGCTTGAGAATCGTAACACAGTCATGTTCAGGCCAGTCATGCATAATGCGACGCATATAATAGAATTTCGCACCGCGGATGATCTGCGGTTTGAAAAAGTCCTGTGCCACATACGAAATGCCTTCTGTGCGCGAAGCCTTGTTCACAGCTTCGGGCAGATCTTCAAGCGTGAGCTTTCCACGAAGACTGGGGTATTTGTGGAGGAGTTGAGCACATTGATGACCGTGACCGCCCCCAACATCAACTAGGAATTGCCTTTCGGATGTGGAAGTCGCAAAGGATTGGACTTCTTTTTGAAAAAGTTCAAATCCTGCTGTCCAGTTACTGGACTCAAGAGAGGTCATGACAACCTGCAGCGCATCAAACATCTCGGGACGCCCCGCTATGTAATCAAAGGCTTTTAACTGCGTATTGAAAGCTTTCTGGAATGGGGTTTTGGAACCGTCAGTGATGTTCTTATAACCCGTCTCCTTGAGAAACGCCGGTGTCGCGTTGACTGCAGGGATCATAGTCATATTGCTAGACACTGTTAGTTATATCTTCAACTAGATAGCGTAGCTAAAAGTTTCAATGCGTATATTACCTGTGAGTAAGAGCAGCTTCCATCATAGGATTTGCAAGCATGTGAGTCAACTTGCTGGCCGTATAACGGTCAGGGCCTACCTCCTGGACGTAGCTGATAGAAGCAAGGTAGCGCAAAATCCGTTCTGCATAGTTTATGAGTACTTTTTGTGCTTTAAAATTATCAGTGTTTCAATGGCTGCTACACTTACCCAAGAGATTGACATCTGCCCCTGTATCTTCCGCGAGTTGACTGACAGTCCTTGAAGACCCCAGCTCCAGTGCGGCCAGTTTCCGGAACAATCCCAAGTCTACGGCAACCATAGCCATTGGTGCTTGTAGTATCTGTAAAGCATCCATGACACTGCATTAGCATTCTCTTTCCTTGGTTAGAGTATATAGGACTCGAAGACATACAGATGCATAGGCATCATACAGAATATCCACGGGATTCCGCAGCTCTGCAAGAAGACTTCCCAGAGCCGAGACAATTCCATCACGTGAATCTGCGTCTGCTTTGCCAAAAAGCTCTCGAATCTGCAAGAGAATTGAGTCCATTGTGGTATGTGGAGGACTCAGTTGAGGAGGTAAATGTTGCAGCTGACAGAAGGTACGATATGTAGGGTAAAAGCAAGACAAGGACAACACGGCTTTAACTCTTCGTAAGTGTTTTACTTTTGTTTTTTTTTCTTTTTTTTTTTTTTTTCATTCCTCTCGTCCCTTTTTGGGCGTCGTCTTCTCTCTATTTATGCTGGACGCAGCCAAATCCGAGCCCGCGGATTACGTCCGTAAAGGGCTTAGCGCCAGAATCTCCGCGGATTCCCCGCGCTCTGATTGGTGGATTGCGCAAACTTAACGTCGTCAAAAATTAGACTGCCTTATTCTTGCCATTCATTCATTTGAATTAAAAATCCCCCCTGCAATAGTTTGTATGCTCATGAAGACGTGAGTCAACATGGGCAAGGCTACTTCATTGCCCAAAGTCGAACGCAAGCGACCGGTGTCCTGTCATTTCTGTCGTTCGCGCAAACTGCGCTGCAGCCGGCAGCCTCCGTGCGCAAATTGCATGTCCCGCGGGATTTCGTGCACTTTATATCCTGCAGATACAAATCCCGTGGAAACCCCGAATCCTCGCGGACTTGTACAGGCGCCGGCGGCAAATGCATCCAATGGGGAGCTTGTGGCGCGTATCCTGCGCCTCGAGGAAATCGTTCTAAGGCACACTGATCATGCCGCGCCTATGCATCGCCCATGGCAAACCTCATCGCTCACTACTTTTGCTCCAACCGATGGAGGCATTTCGTCTAAAATTGAGGCTGATATCTTGGACAGGGTCTCCTACAATGAAGACTGGTTTGTAAGCTATATTAACCCTTCTCAACTAGTTCCTGACTTGCATATATCAACATGCACACTCACCAAGCTGACAGACGTCGATTTCACCCATCAATGTCTGCTTCCGAGTGTGCTCTGTGAGGCATATTCCACAGTCTCCAACATACCTTTGGCCCAACGCCGGGCGGTCCACTTCGCTCCAGGAGCCTGTTCGATGCGTATGGCTGCCGCTGCGCGAGGAAGCGAGAAAGTTGTTTGATAAATACGTGCGGGATGTGACGTTCATCCATCATGTCATCCACACACCGACAGTGCGTGCTCTTTTAGATGATATCTATGACAAGCTCGCACAAGACCAGCCAGTGGGCCCTGGACAGGTTGCTCTGCTCATGGGTATTTTCGGCAGCTCTTCATATGCTTGGACATTCCATGACATGGATCCAGCTATGTTTGCGAAATTCGAAGACGCCCATAGTCAGTCGACTATGTGGGTAAGGTCATGTCTTGACTTGCTAGATCATTGCCGTCGTTGTTCTATTCGGTCCTTTGAGGCTTTGCAAGCCACCGTCATCATCTTTTTCATGCTTGTAAACCTAGAAGGCATGACCTTGCGCTATGCGTCTATGGTGGGACAGGCTATCTTGATGGCTCGAGAAATCGGCCTTCATCGACTAGATCATCCGAATTTTGCCACGAGCGAACAGGCGCCAGCACGAGGCACTATTGCGGAGGAAATTGGCCGCCGGCTATGGTGGTATTTATGTGCAACCGACTGGTATATATGTTGTCCCCATCTTTGTTTATTCGACTTTGGAATTCTCTCTAACCATTTTTGTATGGCCGTCTAACATTTACAGGATGCTGTCTCGCTATGCCGGGCCTCAGGAAGGATGTTATTCCATTCATCCGCGGCATATAGCTACGCGCAAGCCTTGGAATGTCGACGATGCAGAGCTATATGATGGCATGCCAAACATGGATAAGCCTCTATCCCAACCGACAGAAATGTCTTACTTTCTCCAGCGAATCCGCCTGGGTGAGATGTGTCGCGAGCATATTGATCGCATGCCGCTAGGGAACCCTTCGAGTGATGATATGGCACATATCGATGTCATGGCGATAGATGCCCAGTTTATAAAGTTTCTGGATGAGATGCCAGAATTTTTCAAGCTTGAAGCCACGGAAAAGGCCAACGGTGTCGCTTTAAATCAGCGCCAACAGTCACTCACCACGGGCATTATCGTCCAGAGATACATTCTTCACTCTCTGCTTCACTCTCATCGATGCAAAATACATCTTCCATATATAGCCAAGGCCCAGTCCAATCCACGCTATGCCTATTGTCGAGAAGCCTGTCTCGAGGCCGCTCGACAGACTATACTCACGGAGAGATTGCTCGAACGTGAAGCTGTGCAGTTTGTATACACCCGCTTTCGAGTTGCTGGAGTCTTACAGGCTGTTTTCATCGCTGCTATCGCTTTTTTGCTGGACATGTGCTTCCACAATGATCGCGGCCAGTGTGACCCCAGGTGCAAGGCCGAGTTACTGGAAGCGTGTAGTATACTCGAAGATGCTAGAAGCCATTCTCCATTGACTGCCAGTCTTCTTGAGTCGCTGAACAACATTGTGCAAAAATATAAATTGCCTCTTCCTCAGCTTACTAACTTGAATACTGGCACTCACATCCAAAGCCAAGCTCTCTCGAACACCACAAATGCACAGCCTATCCGAGCAGTTGAAGATAACCGCATTTCTATGAGTTGTCCTGGTGATACAATGCCGCAATCAACTGACTCGGATATTTCATCCTTTGATTGGGATGCGTTCAATGAAATGGAAATAGACGGCCTAGACTGGAACTCGTTGCTGAGTGAGCTCGATCTGCAATTTCTTGCTGGTGGACGTCCGGGCGTTTGAGAGTTGTATCGTTTGCCCATAGAATTGTGTGTTTTATGATTTAGAGATACCCTTGGATGGCATTTGTGAAGTCTTTTGCTCATCGGATCCAGTCAACAGACGTTTCACGTATGTTTAATACGAAAAAGGATTACATATCTGTCTACACCTAGGTAGTGACGTGAGTCTATGAGAATTTTACTGGAACTTCATTTTTACCTAGATACGTGCTTGTAGATTGTTCCTACGTAGACTACCTAATTACTTAGCAAACTGAAGAGAAATCGCTATATATACTGAACATATAATACTTAGACTAGATAGCGATAGAGATTACAATGGGTAGATGCGGATGAATATATCAGACAATTAATCCAACTAAGAGCGGGTCTCTTTAGTGTGCTTGAATATTTAATCATAACCGAACTATCAGATAAACAATTAATGGCAGGGTTCCTATTCTGCAAAGGGACAGCTCAACAGCTGGTCGCATCTGAAAAAATGTTTGTCTACTTCTGACGCCAGTTGGGAAGCACGCCAGCAACATTATCTTTTACGTGCTAAGTATTTATATCAAAGGCATTATTATAATCAGAACAGTCACCGCAGAAGCCCAACTCACTGGGCAATGGACCAACGAAATAAACTTGCTTTCAAGTTTAGCGAGAGATAAGACAGTGGGATAAAACCTGAAAACTAGGCATAAAGACAACTGAAAGACCATACAGAGAACTATACCGCCACGTATTAATCCGTCCTGCAGCTGTATTTTTTACTCTATCTCAGCTCGAGATTGAGAAAATAAAAAACGATTCGCAGGCAGATGCTATCTGATCATCTCTTAGCCAGCCATAGTCTTATAAAAGTGGCGTTATATGCTAGGGTATAACCGAGAGGCGCCGGCGAACAGGTCTCCGGCAAGTGGATTTGGCGGCAAGCCCCGAATACTTTACGTGGTTTTTAGGGGAAAATAGGGCCTTTGTTTGGGACAGTGCTCGTCTGTATTGGCTCAGATTGGCTCAGATTGGTAGTTAAGGTTCTAGTTTAGGCGGCATAATATTGCTAGTAGCTGTACCGTATACCTAGCTGCTGGACAGATAAGTTCGGTACACGTCAGCCCGACGTGCATTTTTCTCTCTCAGCGTCGAAGCTTGCATTGAAATAGTAATCACACCAAACCGCCAAATATGAGTACCCCGTAGTTCGTATACCCGTCTGGTTTAGGATCTAGCGGGAGCTCGCCTAAGCTCGGCCATATACCGCGTTCGCTTTGCAAGCTACACAAAGGAAACCAACGAATTCGGATATGGACTGGTCAGTGGTGGGCCTCGCCTACACTATGGTGATGGGGCTAGCTGACGGGTACATATGCTGCTAATTCTTTTATGATTTCTTTTTCTTGCATCATTTCTTTTTCGTGACTCTCGGTCTCTACATACCGGCCGGTAAGCACTAACACGTGTAGTCGATCAGTCAATTACTGTCCATCGGCTAATGTTTCTTTTCCTTTTTCTTTCTTCCCTGCCTTGATGTTTTCTTTTTTCTGTCCAAACTTCAAGAAGTGGCTACTCTGTAGTGCTAGTCGTTTACGGAATCGCTATCAAATGGATGAATTACCTCGTGGGTCTGTGGCGTTTATGTATAATCTAGCTCCCTGATAGTACGTGAATTGGCCCGGGCTCTGGGGCCAAATGAGGATCCTAGCCCTGTAATAGCATTGAAGTCTGGCCATGTACTTACAGCTGCATAATCACTTGTGCTATGGGCGTGAACGAATCTCGTCGACAGCAGAGAGCACATGTTCGAGCAATCAGAATTCCAGCAGTGGTGATCGACATGACGTCCATCTAATTTTCTCTTGATCCTCTGTGTATCCGTATTGGGGGATTCTTTTTTGGCTTTCTCTTCTTCTCTCTCAACCTTTGGTCGACTTTCTCTTGCCCCGACTAGTTTCTCTGATTTGTGATAGATCCATGACCATGCACAAAATCTGAGGGCAAGTGGTGTCCGCCCAAGCATAAAATGCATTGGAAGCGAGAATGACGACAATCAGGGCGTCGGAACTTGAATGATATGCAATTCCCCAAGTGCACAGGTGACAGGTCGGCACGGGCGCGTTAACCAGTTTATATTGAAATTCGTGCAAAAGTCTAGAAAGGCCACAGCCTCGTCTCAAAACTCGCCATGCAGGTACTCCGTACGGGTTAACCCGGAATAGCATCAGAAAATGAGATCTATCATGGCAAAATAGGATGTACGTTCATTTTTAAACACCGGGAAATATGACAACTCTGAAGACGCGTAAAATCAAATGTTTCAAAAGTGCTAGCCGAGATCAAAACATGCAGAAGGGTTATCCAAACTCTGCAACAATGCGGACCAATTAAGAATGAGGTAGTGGGAAAGGCATCTAGTCCTTCCCAATCGTCTAAGATACAATGAATTCGTAAAAGTTGTGGCTGAGATATCGGCTGGGGATCACAATGAGACGATGGAATAGCTCTGCGGCGGGCACAGTAATAGCTAAACAGGTAATAAGAGTCACCATGACCGATCCTCCGTAGGAAATTTTGTGCTGGTTCCGAAGGCTGTCAAATACGCGGATGCCAACTATGTAGGCAAAGATGGACTGTAGAAGAAAGTAACCTATTTTTGAAGTCATTAGTAACAATACCTGGGTAGGTGGAAGAAACTGCAAAAGACATACTCAAGGATCGGCGTCCCAGGTAGAGCAAGAATTTGTTTTGCAGAGCACGTTGTAGGACGTCAAAGGTTTCAAGCACGATGAAAAATCCCACGATAGTGAGGTAGACATCGTCTCGCGAGTCAGTGTGATCAGTCATATAGTTGTTATCAAGAGACGCGGTGGTATAGGGGTTCGAATGGATCCTCCATTCCGCAAAAAATAAGCTGGGTCGCCAGGCCACCCAGAAATATTGCATGAGAAGCCCGCCCACCATGATAGTTCCGCCAACGAGCCATGTTGGGATGCGCAGAGGGCGGCCATCTTTTCCACGCAGAGCCAAGTCGCGGAATTGGATGGGAATCCCCCGCTGTGCTCTGGCTTTGAAGTCCATGTGCATGACCATGTCGCACATGAGCAATCCGGAAATGGTGTACCATGCCCACGAGTTACACCACCAGGCGGCTACTACGAAGGGAACAGAAAACTGAACTCTCCATTTCGCGCGCGTATGGGGTACAATCAGCATGGTCATGTACACGGTGTAGCTCTGGATGTAGACGGCATTGATGATCCAAATGGTCTGGGTAGGAAAGGCATAGTTGGCCGCTTGCGACTCGAAGCCGTGAGTAGTCCAAAACAAATCAAAAACAGAATTCCAATACGACAGCGTCGTGGGAAGCTTGTACGGAACTGGCAGGGACAAGTTGTTGGTATCTGCCTTGAATTGCGTGACGGTGTTGATGAAGGACGAAGTGATTGAACCCTTGATGATGGCCATAGAGATAGCCACGGGAATGCAAAGCGACAAGGCGCGAGTGAGCAGCGAGCGTGCGGCTGTCTCCTTTGTAGGATTGCGAAAGAATGGAATGGCTATCGAGCGAGCCGAAAGAAAGATGATTGATCCGTACAGGAAATATTCATTCCAGAATAAGACGGAAAGAACTTTTCTGACAATCTCTTGGCCGTGAGGCCCGCCGGGGTTATTGGAAGCATATACCGTCGTCGGCGCAAAAGTTTGCAAAAACATCCACAGGAAGCCCTCAATGACAAGGATTCCGCGGAAGCCGACTAGGTAATCTTGCTCATGTTGTGTTGCTGGGCTGGCAATGTGCTTTCGCAGCGCGGTCAAGTCGGCCATGGACATTGTGAACCAAACTGAACTTTGGTAGTGATTACGGTGTGATTGAAGCAACGCAAAAAGATGGAATCAAGCTCATCGGCATATTACAAAGAACAATGGGAGCCCAGAAGCACGGATGCTCTTAACGGTTCTTCTGCTGTGCGACGTATCTCTCTGGGGAAAGCTTGTGCCACAGCAGGCAGATAATAAACACAATCCACCGGAAGGCACGCGCCATCCATGGACTCGAATTCTTCTTTTGAACCGACTTCAGCTGGGTGCCTTCACTCGAAGTACTCTTTCCCTATGTATCTTGGACCCCAAATGCAGTGGATTTGTGATTAGGTACCTAACTACTACTCCACCGTCCCTAGTCTCAGAGATCAGCACCGCCAAAAGCCAAAATACAAGATGCGTAATTGAGCCGGCGTTTCAATGACAAGACAATACGGAGGAAATGCAACGATACAGTCAGTTCTAGCACGATGGCATCCTCTTTACCCCGTCCATACGAGAGATCTACATCGACGCCAGCAACAGAAAGCCGGGAACTTGTGCCTAATGAGAGCAATGTGCCGAGGGAGGATCTCGAGTCATTCATTGATACGTGACTAAACCGCGGGACGATCTTGAGTCGACTCATGAAATGAACATGGTTGACGTAGCAGCATCACATCAGGAGCGTAGGGCTATGCCACCCACAAGGGAAGTTCCATGCGCATCGTGCTGGGTGAATTTAGAATTCGATGGTGGCGAGATAGTCATGATAAGCCAGGAACATAGTGGACGTTAGTGTTGGATGTTGGAAGTTGGCAGCCAATTTTTACCCACTTACGATCGACAAGGGTAAGGCCAACACCCACAATTCTTACTATTTTTTACGTCGTGCTATGCCTTTTTTTTTTTTTTTTTTTTTTTTTTTTTTAATGTTCTTGGCGGTGTTGCCCTAAAAATTAATGCGTACCGCGGTTGTCCCTTTTTCGCCCCCTTGCGCCTTCACGGAGATTTCTAAGGTTGAGTGCATCGAAATTTCCCGCACAAATCACAGACCATAGATCATCTTGCCACCTCGTTCAAGCATGACGTGGCATTTCTTGTTTTTCTTTTCTTATTCCAAGTTTGTTGTGCTGGGGCGTGGTCTTGGCGTTTCCAGTGCCCTGAATCGTGTCCACTAGGTATCCTCCTGTCTCAGAGCAAAAAGACTCCGGAGCCCAGAACAATTTGATATGCTGAATGCCCCACCAGGCTGGCTGCATGCATGCATGCATGCATGCATGCTTGAATTGAATTTCTTCCTGCTTCTGCCTCCCGGCCAACAGAACTAGTATCGCTCAGAACTGCAGATCACCAGTATTCGTAATAATGCAACGGCAGATAGCTAACTAGTTCCTTATGACAGCCAGATACGTAGTAGTACTACCGAGTAGCTGAGGCTTAATGGTTGGCTTCTGATAAGCAGCCTAGCTAGCCAGCACATCCATCATACATGCCCGGAGCTCTCCGTACGGAGTAGATAGCAAGCCATCCAGGCCAGTAATATAAAATCGGCCTAGAAAGACACCTTCGGTGCGAAGATCCGTACGGACATGATTGGGCAATGTCTGCCCTGATTCACAGCATTAATCCTGCAGTCGTTGCTAGCCGGAGACATACTGCTTACGTACAGCTTGTGGAACACTGCAAAAGTTAAAAGATTATAGCAGTTTCAGATATATAGCATTTACTTCTATGGAACGCAATTACATGTCTAAACCGTCTAAAGCAGGATAAGGCGTGGTTCATAGTTTTCATAACACTAACAACTTTGATCGCCACCCTCAATTGCGTGGAGTCGGGTTCCACTTGACGTACTTACTCACTTGGCGCGCATGGCCAAAGAGGCCAATAACCGCAGTGAGCACGAGCTGTGGGAGGTATGTGGTCGCGAATATGGGCATCGAGTACCAGCGACAGAATTCCGAGCGGAAGTGGAACGTGACCCAAAGGGTACCAGCCAGGGCGAGAACACTAGAAGAAAATGTGAGCTGACGTGTCTCGTCGCTGGTTGAAGCACACACTTTACCTGAAAATGAAGAGCCACCAGGCAATGGGGTACTGGAAGAAGACCAAGACGTAGAGGTCGTGCCAGCTCTTGGGGAACCGAGTGATAACCACGCTCAGCACCAGGCACAGATATTGGGTAATGAGATAGTAGCTGAGCTCTCGGATGAAGAGAAGCGACATGATCCCAAAGCGCTGACGCATGGTCCGGGTTTTACCTTCTGGCGCCCGGCTCCAGATAAGGTGCATGTGGCGAAAACTGGCCTGGACCCAGCCTTGCGACCATCGAAGACGCTGTTTCCAGAAGGCCGACGGCGTCACCGGCGCAAGCTCAAAAGAAGTGACGTTGAGGTCGTGCACGGTTTTGGCTCCGCCGCCGAACGCGCGAAGGGCAGAGTCAATATCTTCCGTAAGCATGGAATCGTCCATTTTGAGTGCGCGTAGCAGCGATGTGCGCCAGTAGCCATTGGATCCGCAGAAGAGACCAAAATGGAACATCTCCGAGCGTCCTGGATGGGAGACTGCGTAAATCTTGTCAAACTCGATGCCAATCATCGCAGTCATCATGTTGTCGTCGGTGTTCAGGACCACACAGCGGCCCTGCACGATATCCACTTGCTTGTCCTTGACAAATCGTTCCATCGCCCAGCGTGGTGCATACGGATGTGGGTAGTGGTCGCAGTCAAAGATGGCCGACACATCAGCGTCGGTCTCCAAAGCATTGCAATAGTAATTGATATTGTCGGCTTTGGACTTTGAGTTGGGCACCTTGACAACCCGGAGGTTTTTCGGATTGTGCGCCATCAATGCAAATAGCTCTTTCTCCAGAGGCTCAATGGCGTAAGGCGTGTTGTATAGCAGGTTCACGCGGAATTTGTCCCGGGGATAGACGATCTCGTCGAGGAGATACTTTACGCGATCCATGACAATATCTTGCTCATTGGGTAGATAGGCCACCACGATAATGTCTAGTTTGGGCAGGTCACTTTCCGCAGATGGGAACTGCCAGTTATTCTTGGCTACCTTGTCGAGCGCCCTTTTGGCATCCTGGAAAGTGCCCAAGGCCACGACAGACTCAACCACAGTAGCAGTGGCTATGTATGTGTTGGTCATCAAGTAGACAAACCAAAATACTTCGGTGATCCTGGAGGTGGCATTCATGTAAATGGTGGTGGAAAAGAAGAAATAGGAGAAAACCAGGAAAAACGGTGTCCAATCCTGGACGCCGTCTGATGCCGTGGTGAACGCCCAGGAAACGTCATGAACCAGTTTCCGGAGACTGGAAGATATGTTATGACTTCTCTTCGGTGGCTGAATTGCTTCATCCGCAGCTAGCTGGGTGGAAGCTGCTGCGGTCTCAAAGGGATTGATCTCAATATCATGCTGCTTCTCCATGGTAGCAGACAATGACACCGAAATTGGTGGTTTGTCGGTGGAATAATTGACAGACGATGGGGAAAAAAGGAGAAGGGAAGAGGAAGTATAATCATCAACTTTTCAGATCAAAGGTCTGTCTGTATACATTACCAAGGTAGTAAAGTAGATGGTCCCTCTGTTCCTTGGCATACGAGCAATCATCGAACTATGCCACCACCCTGTACTTAGCTAGGGTAGATATGCACTTTGTGTTTACCTAGGACCATCTAGCTGGACCCAGCAAGAGTCCCCGAGAGTCAGCAAGCCCGTCCTAGTCCAGAGCCAATTGAAATGCAACCATAGATGTCGATCACGCAGCCCAAGGAGAGATGTCAGCTTCTGGTTACCTTGCCGCTAACTGACACAGTGACTTAACTTCATCTCGCGACTCTGATCTGGGCTGGGTGCTAGCACCATACACCCGTGTTTATGCACGCAAGTCATTGTGAACGCGCCAGGCTTTGCGACAATTAGAGCACGTTTACAGAATGATGCGCTGACGTTGCTTGCGCAATATTTCTCGCCAGCTAATTGCGAAGCAATGGCTAGCTTATCTTGGCTGCACGAGATAGCTTAGCCTAGCGTGCAGACTGCGTTGGGTATCTCGAGGCGCAGAGGCGGCTCGACGGCAAGGATTAGGGCTAGACAGAGGGGCCAGGCAAACCCACAATTTCCTGTTCGGGAAATTCTGTGTGGGAATTGGGGCCAGGCTCGCTCAGCCCGCGGGAAGCCAAGCTTAATTTTCTTTTCTTTTCTCTTTTTTTTTTGTTTTTTTTTTTTTTTCACGTTTCTCCCTCAAAAATACACATGCTGCAGTCTTGTAGAGTACCAATATCCTTTGCTTTTCGTAGGCCCACCGCCGTCATCGACCAAGGGCTACATGGCACATGCAAATCTTTCTTCCGGCTGCTGTAGCATGCAATGCAATGCAAGGCAATGCAGCATGCAGTTTGGTATCCATGCGTCCAAGTTCTCTCGGCTATCTCCAACCCTGTCCGTTGCATGATTAACGAGCTGTACGGTCTATTCCGGAATCTGTGCGGATCGAGGATAAGAGAGAAAAAGACGTAATTTGTGATCTGCAGGCACGATGGGTGCTGGCGTACGTACTAAAAGTGACGAATCCTTGGGCGACGCTGATCACGGCCCACAAGGACAATAATGATAAGGTGGTACCTATGGTTCATGTCCCGGTACATATCTAATCATTTTTATTATTACAAGGGCGGTTTTGAAATCTCTCATACGACCTCTTGGTTTTCTTTTTCTTACAGATAAGCTATTCGACTGGCGCCTTCTTTTGGCTGGTGGATACATACCACTCTGTACGGAATCGTCAGCATCTAGATAGCATCTCGCAGATGGGCTCGTGAATTCAGATGCCGATCAGTGAAGAAGTCTATACATTTGCTAGTGCGACATTTTTGCTTGTACCATCTCATCCTTGGGTCCTGCAACAGTCAATTCCGTCGCCTTAATGCCTTGTCGTTTCTCTTTTTTTCCGATAAGTTAGTATAACCTTTTTTTTTTTCCTTTCTGAGGTGCAAGGTTATCTATTTTCTTACAGCTCGAAGGAGCTCCCTCTTCGATTGTTTGTTTTGCTATACTACTGGCAGAAGTATAATGCTTTCCTCAGCATGGCCGGGTCTGCTGTGTGTGCTCCTGGTGGCGCTGACACCTGCCCACGCTCAATCATCCCTTGAATACACGGATGTGCAGAGTTGTTCTTGTGGTTTCTATGATGAGGCTGCAGACCTGTTGTTCACAGAGTCAACAATTGTTTACTTCAACGAGACGGGGACCACCATTCCCTCGGACTATGTAGTAGAAGAATTCGCCCATCACTATGACACCGGTTGGAATAACATGTATCGCAAGGGCGCGTCGGTGGAGAATGTAAAGATTGTCAATGACACCACAGCTCGCAATTTGACAAGCTTGCAAATGGCCTGTGAGCCCTCGGATCATGAACATCTTGTTGTCGGATCCAGCATTCGCACTGCACGCCAGGATATCTTTTTTGGCTCCTTCCGCAGCACTCTGCGACCAGCACGGTCGTGGACGAGGGGCTCCGTGATATCCATGTTTTTGGCCCATAACACAACCGAAAGCTGGCAGGTGGATGTCATGAACACTGATAACAGCAGTCAAGCTTGGGTCGACATGTTGATGCAAGGCGAATTTGCAAATACATGGTTTGGCGCCAATTTCACCAACCTCACCGAAGAGGGAATGGAGCCATGGTATTATACAGAATATCGCGTTGATTGGACCCGCGAGGGACTCAACTACTCTATTGGCGGCGATTTGAAGATGAGCTTCAATAAATCCGTCAATTCCTCCATTCCGTCGACGCCCGCCCCGTTGCATTTCCAACACTGGTCTCTGGGGAACAAGTACACTTCCCAGGGCCCGCCAGACATCGTAAACCTGGCCAATATTGGGTACACGCGGCTGTTCTTCAATTCCTCTACGTGGAATGATACCCACCGACAAGCTTTTGACGATAGATGTTCTATCCAAGACGCCTGTCGTATGGATGACAACACACTGCGTGGAAATTCAAGCTTTCCGCCACAAAGCTTGGAGCCTTGGAAGCAGTATCAGCCTCCGTATCGCATAAAATGGGTTCCATTGATAATGGACATTGTGTGCGGGGCCATCTTCATTGCTCTCACCACCAAGACTCTATGGCGTCGTTTTACTTGGCATAAATTCCTGGTGTTTTTAGGCTTGCGCAAAGAGCAGCAGCCCGAACCGAGGTCTTCCTCACATCCGGAATCGACAGTGTCGACAGACGGAATATCTGACAACGCCCGTGGTTATTCTGGCGATACTACGCCACCTCATATCAGCGGTGGTGCTAACATCCCTCGAAATGAGTCTTACAACACCTTGCCTCCATACAGGGGATCTCAAACCCCTCTTCCTCAATATCAAAGTCCTTCCGCCTCTCGTCGACCATCGCTATCAAACATTGCAGGCCATAATTCCAATTTCCCAGCTAGTTTGAATGGCACTGTCCAGGGCGAGTCCTCTCGAGCTGCTTCTCGCGCGGCCTCTCTGTATGCTGTGCCTCAGCTAGAGCAGTCTTCGCATGCGTCGGCGCAAATGGATTCCTCGAATATTTCAACAGAGGTCACAACTGTCAGCGAGTCCGCCGTCAATGGTACTCGTGTTGAATATACTACAGAAACTCGCACGGAAGGCCAGACGGAGGTCAGAACAGAAACTGTTGACGCAGCAACCGAAAAACAGGAGGCCGCAAAAGCAGGCAAGGATGCAAAGAACGCCAAACCTGCCGCCGCAGCCTCTGCAAAGCCACCTCGAGTTGACTACTTGGCGGGTTTTATCTCTATCAGTTCTCTCTTGGTCACGGCCAACCATTTCGGGTTGACATACTTCAACGCTGTGATTGAGCCCGGGAGTTCGCCCCATTATCACAGTGAGACAGTCGCGAGAAAGACATTTGCCACTTACTTCCTTGATCCGTTGTGGATTGGGCCGTTCCTGATGATCTCCACGCGTTTCTTGACATCGAATTACATCCGTACTGGAAATCTGAATAACATGGCACAGAAAATAGTTGCGCGTCCTTTCCGTCTGCTGACACCTGTCGCTTCAATTGCCTTGTTGGAATATTTCTTCATGGATGCCGGTGCCCTCAACTGGCTAGAATCGTTGCCCTCGGTAACCTGGTCGGACTGGCCATTTGTGGCGATTCCTGCGAATCCAGGCATCTACGTCTCTGAAATCCTTCAACTCGCCTTTCTAATCCCAAATGCTGCACCGATGATTACAAACAATTATTGCACTGGGGTTTTGTGGACCATCCCTGTGCAGCTACAGGGTGCATGGCAGACTTTACTGGGTCTGATTATGATCCGTCAGATCAAGAATCCTTGGAAACGATTTGGATTCTACTTGTTCTGCACTATCATGCACTGGTATGCTCTGTCTTGGGGAAGCTATTACTACGTTGGCATAATGTTGGCCGATCTAGATATCACCTACAAGTATAAGCAATGGGTTCAGCCTAGAGCATGGGCATACTGGCCACTCTTGATTCTCCTGATCTGTGTCGCCCTGGGTGGCTTCACCATAGACCTGGTCACCCAACACACCGGCGTCAACTATGCTCAGGTCGAATACGGATGGCACCCGGATAAACTCACAGGCCTTTCTCTAACGCAAGCCGACGCCGACTCTTATCCAGATTATTTCGTGCCTCGCCTGAATGCATTCCTCGCGACGATCTCTATGCAGGCCGTCGTCGAGATCTGCCCAACCTTGCAGAAGGTTTTATCAGTCAAGATACTCCAGTGGCTATTCCCACATATCTTCAGTATCTATCTCATCCACGGATTTATTATCTGGTCGGTTGGGTCCTGGACAATGCTCTCCATGTGGTCAAAGGGCTATCCTTACTGGCTGTGCACGCTGATCACCGCAATCACCTCTTACGGTACACTGTTTGCATCGCTACCGCTCCTGACTCCTCCCATAGAAGCGCTGGGTAAGGGATTTACGGTGCGGCTGTGGCAGTTTGCAAGCACCGAGCCAGTTCCACGCAAACCGACCACTTATCCCTTTGGAAAGGAGCTTTTCACGCGGCGAAGCGAACTTCGAGACTCTTCTTCGTCGCCCAGTTTTGACGAGTCGTCTGTCACAAACGAAAAGGGCAAACAGAGCCAAACGCATGTAAAGGAGCTCAAGTCGGGCAAGGTCATGGAGCATATTAATGAATTTTGAAATCGTTTTTCTTTGTTTTACATTTAGAATGATCTTGTGCGGTTGTTGGTTTGTCGTCTTTTTCTTTGGTCGTAATACTGGTACCCAAGTTGTCCATGAATGTCAGTGGTAATAAATATAGAGCAAATTAGAGTATGATAGTCAGTCAACCTAGGTAGTATTCTCTCAGTTTCAAGGTTCCTTTCAGACTAGTAATACATAACTGAATTCCTCAGGCCAGTTACTTGTAGGCTCACGTTTCTAATTAAGCGGTGTACGAGATCTCACGGACACTGCGGCCATATCTACTTGTTAATGAAAATCGAGTATTTGATTAGTTTTGCACCTGCTCTCATATGGCAGGCAGCCATTGATTTGGTAAATAATTCTCTCTGGATAAGGGTATAATCTCTAATAAGACAATAGAAGAAAAACAGTATGCGTCTATAAAATGTCTAATGAAAAAACACCTCGATTTTCAGAATTTGAAGATCTGGTTCTTCTTATACCCCAACTCGGCCAGAATACCTGACGTGCCGAACCCACCAGTCAATGCACCCTCCATGGCAGGAGGCCCGCACACAAACACTTTCGTGTCTGTCAATGAAGAGTAAGCTGGCAGAACCTCCTTCAAAAGCTCTTTGGTGACATGTCCCTTGCGGAAACCTGAATTCTCGTTGAGCTGGGAGACTGTGTACACGATCTTAAACCGACCAGGGAACTTTTTCTCATAGTTCTCAAACTCCTCGCGCATTAGGAGATCCCGTTCGGTGTTGACTCCAAACACAAGCGTCATTTTGGTACGGTCCTTAGGGTTGTCGAGAACACCGCGGATCAATTGATAGATTGGCGTGATGCCAGCACCACCTGCAATCAGAGTAACGTGGTCATAGCGATTCGGTACCCAGGAGTATGCCTTGATGGGGAAAGCGAAAAAGAGTGAATCACCCGGCTGCAGGGAGTGAATATGTGTGCTGGCTTTTCCATTAGGATACTTTTTGACCATGAGATCAATGAATCCCGGTTGTGCTTTTAGGGCACTGTTAGCTGAGGTTGTTGCGTCTGATGCAAGGGGGAAAAAAAAGTTGTTGGCCTACCAAGGTCGCCCACTGGCGTATATGGCCGTATGGCAGGAGTCAGACTACCCTTGGGCCACGAAAAGGTCAAGACAGACGCTGCATACAAACTATCAGTGATGTGAGATACACGCCAGTTCTCAGAATGCTCCATGCTTACAGACAACAGTGAGGCCAGTCTCATCCTGGGCGTTGGGAAAGGCAAAACGCAGTCGTTTTGTGTTATGGTTGACATCCTCTGTGTGCTGCAGTGTGAGATTTCCTGTCAATCCGCCGCCAAACACTGTTCGAGGCGTCGTCGAGCCCTGGAAATAGGAGTAGGCCGAGTAGAGACCACCAGCAGCGACGAGGCCAATCACCACGTTGGGGAGGGCAGCTTGTTTGGCAATGACGCGGCTGCCTGAGAGAGCCATGGCAATTCTAGTCTGGGTATAGGGGATGAAGTGCTGGTTGAGAAGAGGAAGAGCGACTGTGCGACTCTTTTATATGCTCATACAACAACCAAGTCGGAGCTCGTCTTGGAGAGCGCCGAACAGCAACAGCCCACGACCCATTGCAGGTGCTGTGATTGGCTGCGCTGTGTAGGGCTGGCCAATCAGCGCCCGGAATCGGCATCGGCAGCCCGAGACGCCGACCGCGAGATTTTACATCAACTAGTTCAATATTTGTTCGTATATACTGTAGCAACCTCATTGGTTTCATTGTACCTAGCCCGGGGCAGATATATTAGCAGCTTGGAGGGTGGGTAAAGGATATTAGACTTCCCGGGCAGCAGCCCTGATCTATATACATATGCGAAACTCGAAAAGCCGAGAGGTTGTAGATTCCATACCTAGGTATGTTAGATGAAGCTATTCCAGGGTCGTTATAGTACTTGGATTCCTGCTCTTAGACTACCTAGGCATTCCATTTACTGTGTTGCATATCAAGGGCAATCGAGCAGTCAGTCCATAACATAAGCAAGATCTGCTGGATATTCATTCATGCTGCAGTTTTTGCAAACGAACTGTGAAGTTCTGTATACTTTACAAACACGCATGGCAGTCTAGCAACAAAGGAGCCTTGAATCGTCTAAAACAACATTCTATTCCTGGCACGCTGAATTTTGATTGGCCAATCAGCCTAGGTTTGAGTGTAGTGATGTAACTTCTTCCATCATTCCGCACACGTGATGGGATGTACCCCTTGACGAATGGCTTATAGAAATTTCTGTTTGCATACATAGTTTTATGTACAAATCTTTGGGTTTAACCATTGGTGCATCATGGCTACGCCATCACCGAGATGAAACCCATGGATGCGTAGTGAATTCAAATTCATATAACCAGATAAAATCATGCTGCGAACTGTGTAGTTCAAAAATTTTGCATCTAAATCTACCCCATATTCACTCGAATACACGAAGCAGCCAAGAATCCAACATGCCTTCTCGCGATAAATATACGGATCCAGAATTGCGCGATCAAATTAAAGAGGAAGTTCATGCCTCTGACAAAGGCGGCAGACCAGGCCAGTGGTCTGCTCGAAAGGTGTGTCTTTCGTATCTTGGGTTAGGGCTATTTAGGTAGATGGAAATTGGCAAGGAGGTTGCCTAACAACATCAACCGCAGGCGCAATTGATGGCATCGGAATACAAGAAACGTGGCGGATCGTACACCACGGACAAAGAAACTGGCCAGGATGAGTCGCAAAAGCACCTTTCACAGTGGACCGACGAGAAGTGGCAGACCAAGGAAGGGGATGCAAACGCGACCAGAGATGATGGGACGAAAAAGCGATATCTACCGAAGAAGGCGTGGGAAAATTTGAGTGAGGGTGAAAAGGAAGAAACTGAAGCGAAAAAGGAGGAGGGCGAGAAAAGAGGGAAACAATATGTGGGAAATACGGAGAAGGCGAAAGAGCAAAGAAGGACTGCTAGTAAAAAGGAATGATTCATCTAAGAGTTTTGAATGAAGATACAAAAGAGAAAGTACAGGCTATCCGCAGTCGAGTCCTCTTCCAGGCGCGTTCGTTATATTATACCTAGCTCCGTCATACTGCTTGATTATATCGTGAAGTGTGTGTTCCTTGCTCTGGAATTCTAGTCAATGTCAATGTCAGTCATCATCACTGGTAAAGGTAGGGGGCCATCGAAACGGACCAGTCTTAGAGGGGCGTCCATGAAACTTCTCCTCCCTAAGTCGAGCTTCAGTCTCTGCCAAGAGTTTCAAGATCGCCACTGCAAGTTCAGGATTGTCAATGAGTACCCTATCACCACGGTCACGAAATAAGAAACGCTGGATATTTGTTGCCATGAGCCCTGCAATACCATCACGTAGCCCATTCTCGTGCGAAGGAGTAGAGCAGTAGATATCTTGAACAATATATGGAAAGTCTGCCGAGCTCCGGTTATACTTTGCCCAGTCCATAATTCGATTAATCGTGAGTTTTTTTTTTTTTTTTTTTTTTTTTTTTTAAGAGGTGGTATACCAAACTTATCAGCAGCCACATATACTCGGAGATTGAGGCTTGCATTTATCCAAGCTTCAGCTTTGTCAATTTTCTCATAGTCTTGAAAATAACAGAATGACAAGACACTAGATATAGTTTTGGCATCATCTTCAGGCAGACTAATGCGCGAATCTACTGCTTCCTTTGCTAGGCCGTCAGAGAAAGAGAAGAAAATGGGCTGGCTAAGGGAACCTCATCACTTACTTTGAATCCACCTTTCAGAGCGACTCACTATGCTCGCATGTTCTTGGCATGAAGAAGAGAAAGAAAAGTGTGTTGTGCGTTGTCTAACTAGTTAAATGAATGACCTGGCGATGCTCAATATGGAACCGCCGGTGAGAAGCTCTAGGTAATTTGTCGTTTGATGGAGATCTATCCTGTACGTATATACGGGTAAGCAAATAGTGACTTCCAACTCGCGTATGTTGTCTACTACCTAGATGCTCAGTCGTTTAGTAGCTTATCCTGAAGCTTGTCCTTTCTACCAAAGGACATTGCAAAGTCAAAATAGTCCTACAATACTCAACGAACATAAAATATTTATATAGGTATTTGGAGGTTCATACCACCGCGAAGATTTCTGCAGCTGCCTAGTTACCAAGTCGGTTTCACCAATCAGCCTCGTAGACAAAGCTCGTGGGCGTGAGATACCTAGCTACCTATATATTGTAGCTATAAGCTTGTATCAGTGTTTATTGAGATATTTCCCATATGACAAGGGTGTGAAGAAGTGAGTCTATTGATAGATTGCGGAGTGTCAGATGTACATATAGCTACAGTTACATATACTGCAAGACTAGGTACTCTTGCATCTGAAAATTGCGCCATTCCATGCGCCGGCGCCGTAGTAGATGGGTGGGGGAAACAGCAAGAAAAAAGGGGGAAATGCATGATGCAAATCTATTTCATGTACACGGAATGGGTATATCTAGGTCGTTAGAAAACAAGACGCCTCCATGAAGAGGGAAATAAAAAGAATAGATGTTGCGCCGCGAATATGTGTAGGAGGTCAAGGCGATGAGAGGGGTGAAGAGGACATTTGGACTTTCAAACAATGGCATCCCGATCATCTATCCATACCAACTCTGGATGTTTCTCAACATCATCAAGGTGCACGGTGGCTGAATTTGGGATATATTCAGTTAACCCGTAAATTTCTTTCAGTGGGCCTAATTGTCCAGCAACAAACTTTTGAAACATATCCTGCATGTGGGAATCTTGTATGGCATGGATTCCAGGCTCATAGCCGCGGATACACAGATATTCCAAATTCGGGGGAAGAACATCGGCGAGAATTGGTGGAGAGCGAGGATCGTTAGAGATTCCGTATGCCATCTGGAAGAGACACCGTACACCGATGCTGAGCCGTCGAAGAGCAGTGAAGTTTCGAAGGCAGCCCGTCTGCAGGAAGATTAGTTTAACGACCGATTGTTGGTTCATGAAAGTCAGGCGGTCCTCTTCCGTCTCGTCATCGTCCATCTCTGTTCCAGGATTGGACATATATTCCTCAAATTCCTCATACTCAAGGTCATGAGAATAATCTGAATCAGTGTCAAGATCAAGTGACTCCAATGACTCGCGATGAAGGAGGAGTGCCCGGAAAATAGCCGGAAAACCCATGTTCCAGGTACCCGTATCGAGGGTAGCGCGACCGCCTACTGAATGTGTGAAATTTCGAAGTCTTTTTGAAGATGCAATTACCGAACAGAGAAACATGGTTGGCAATACGGAGTGAACTAGCTCAATGTGGTGCAGGTTGGAAGTAAACGGAGGAAAGTCCTCGCGGCCATTCTCGTCAATTTCCATCCCGCCAACGCGGATATGTTCGATCGACGGCAATTTATGGAAGAGGGACATGTGATATAAGAAGTCGTAACGGTTGAAATATAATGGGTCATTATCGAGGGCATCGTCGGTGTGAAGTAGGTCGATACGCTGTAATCTTTGTAGAAATACGGAATTAAATATGCTGGTGCAATGCAGAAGAAATTGTTCTAGCGGTAGTGGTGGATAACCGTCTCTCATATATCGCCCCATCGGGCGCAGTTTTAGCGACTCCAAGTTGGGAGAAACCGACATCAAAAGAGCTGCAAGAGCTTGGATCATATGTGAACCGCGAGTGTGTCGGCCACCTCGTGCTCTGGACCTGTTGATGTCGAGTTAGCCAGTCTACAGGAAAGAGAGAAGAACTAGAAATCAAGGAGGTATGTACGACGTACGAGTGAAAGCCGTTGGAAAAATCGAGGTCGAAATTTCTTTGTAGAAGCATATTGAAAATCATTTCTTCTTCCACCCCATACCATCCAGCATTACGAATGGCCAATCTTAACAGTAGGGCGTCCTCCTCCGAGATATACCGCTGGTATGGAGTTGGCTTGTAGTGACCGTGAAATTGCGTGTCTCTTAAGATGTCAATATGGCGAATAAAAACGCCGAGTTCTGGCTGTCGTAAAATTGACATCAGCAGCTGGAATGCTTCGTCGCAATCCTGTTCAGACCGTAGGCGAATTGTGTCCGGGATATTGATCGGATCGAAGCTAGGCGCGATTTGGTACATGTCCCTGCCCACCCCCATACCCATACCCCTGCCCATGTCCATGTCCGTCATATTCTCCACGGGCAGTAACGTGCTGGTCGAAAGCGCGGCCATGGTTGACACGCGAAAGAAGAGGGGGATATCCATTTCCTTCTCCATGTGTGTGAAGGGGTATAGGCACGGACGGCCCCCTCATGAGCCGTGTCGTGCTCAACCCCAATGGATGCCCTTGGTGGTTTGCGATCACAATATACAGAGACAAGCTGTTTCCTTCGCCTTATTTCTTGTATATGCTCAACCTTGGAACCCCCCCAAGACGCCCGAAATCCCGCCTTACCCCTCCGTAATCAATCGGGTACTGAGAATTCTCAGCATGTAGTGATGACCCGACGATGAGGGAATGGTTGCTGTTTTGATCCCGGGTTACTTAATCCCCGCCTGCTAGGTGTTATAAGGATAATGAGCGGTCCATCCGGGCCGAAGCCTTGATCAAAACGGAACTTCGTTTCCGGGTGCTAGCGACGTTCATGCCCGATTGCTGTGGGAAGGCGTACGAGTTATAAAGCTGGACATCGGTGTTAATCGAAGGAAGGGATGTTCTCTGATCGGACGGCGACACGGAATCAATTCAGCCAAGGGAAGGGAAAGGAAGGGAGAGTAAACAGCAAGCAACAAGGAAGGAATGAAAATCCCCAGGATTAATAAAACAACCGAAGAAAGAATGCCATTGACGCAGTTGCAGTGGGAGCGTGTCTAGGACAGATCGGGGAAGCAAAGGAGCGTTAGCCGGCAGCGAGCCGCCTCAGTCGAGGGGGGAGTAGAGTGAAAGAAAGGAAAGCTCCCTCGTTTCGTTTAGCGGCGGCATGTCCCAGCTGCAGTGGCACCTACAACGAGAAATGGAAGGGGGGGGGAAGAGGCGTTGAAGCTGCTAAGTTGATATCGCAGGTGGAGAGGGGCGGGTCGGAGGAACATGCAATGACATCGATAGTATTTTCCTATTCGAGATAATCCTGACTAGCTTACGGCCCAGTACGGCGCCTGCAGTATGCGAGTGGCGGTATGTTACGGGCGCAATACGCGGCCCGTACAATACGCCCGATATTAATCATAACACAGAGAACTATAACAAGATGGAATGAGTGAACAGAGCGTATAATAGCAACTCCATCTGGTACAAGAGCTTATAGTGACAGCTTATCAAGGTCTGAGAGCCCGTTGAATCATTGACACGCTCATATACTCTGCATTAGCTCGGTGAGTATATATCAGTCTTCATGATATTGTTCTTCGATGTTGGCAGCGTGATTTGGCAAGCTGCGGGTAAGTACTTCCCCAATGCAGTTAACACCCGGCCGGATAAAAGGTCGCCCCGGAATGCGATCACTGCCGATTTAGCGCCGCAGATCTGGCCTAAGCCGAATAGGGCCAAGCGCTTACTTTTTGCACGCCGCCGCAGCCAATCGCCCGCCGCCGCGCGTCGGCTAGGGCTGCTTTGGGGCATGCAAATCCTACCTGTTTGGGGGCATTTTTGCGTACTTGCCTACTCTGGACACTACTTTGGGCGTGCGCGCGCGCTGATTGGATTTCTCGCTAAAGTATGAACGGACGTGCACTAATGCACGTCTTTGTATCATCGACTACGCCTGCAGCAGGCACGTACTATTCCGCATGGGGCACTCCGTTGGGTGATTAATCTGCTATCGTAGTCCGCATTGCAATGCCTCAAATTTCGTCCCAATCCCTGAATAAATAACTAGGAAAATGCGGAGTACTAGGTAGCAGAAGAGCATACTCGTCCGAGGTTATTTTTGCACTGGATCCGATGAGCTGTCTACTGTCTACGTAGGTTCAGTGACACGTCCACTGTTCAGGGTTCCGTTCTGTTCTAGGAAGAGTCACTACCTCCATGGACGTGTTGTATAAGTGGAATTATGGCTTCGAAAATGAGCGCTAAAATCGTAAAGGCACCCGAAAAGAGAACCATACCAGTACTAGAAATTTTTTTCTACTGATCGCAGAAACCACCAGTTGACCCAACTGTACACATCAATATTCGTGCATGCCGTTGCATTCCTAGTGTTAGAAGGCCCTCGAACCGTTCACAAGCTTTACATGCATACCCTTGCTTGTTTCAGAATGCATAGGTGTCTCATCACTGCATGTAGCCACCTTGAAGGACTGTTCAAATTTCCTGAGACAAGCAAAGTACCTAGGTCATTTCAGCCCTAGTACGTAATACAGACCTTCAGCTTTTCACTAGACCACATGACGATCTAAAGAGGTCAAGTACTACCTAGGAACACACAAGTTGTCTAGCTCGATTGTACGGGGTATGATGTTTCCGAGTTTGTAGCATCTTGTCAACAAGTCGGATTAGAGGCTTGTCGGCTGTAGTAGCATCTACAATCAGGATCTTAGTCTAGTACGGAGATACTACTACGTACTGACTGTTTTCGTTCGAAGCACGCACCTGTCTTCGAAGTTATGAAGTAACACATCGGCCATCAATCACCCGATTGGGCTCCACGCATTTCCACTTGTAGGGCGGGAAGTGCAGGGGCTGTGAGGCGTTGGTGACCAGCAGTCGGGCCATTTCCATCCTATTGGAAATTGGCATGGCAATGGTTTCCAATAAGGAAAGGAAAAGAGAAGGATTCGCCTTTTCGGGCAGGTAATCGCAGATTGAGAGGAAGACGATGTCGCTTATAAAAAGAATTGGTGTTGGCGAGAACAATGATGTCCGTCGATGAATGGTTCGCTGATCAACAGCACATCGAAAAGGGTGGCCGCGGAGTGGAGGTTGAGCAATGAATACTGGCCCATAGTGACGATCCCCTAGATGGGATTTCCCGATATGGTAAGTCTCTACTCCGTAGCATAAGTAACCCTTGAATCCACCGGGATATTTACTGGCAAGTCACAAGCACAGCCCATTCGCTCTGTATTTGCATGAATTGCATGGAAATTAAACTTCCGGCGTTACGCGCTCCGTTTGTATTTCCCTGGCTGAGCGCTCGGATATCAAGATTAATCGCAAGAACCCATATGTCGATATCTAATTGTTGACTAGCAATCGAATCAGCATGTGCGCTCACATTCTCGGTGAGCTTATTAGACAGACGGCGAACGTGGCTCAAGAATGTGTGTTCCAAGTTAAGTCGCTAGTCCTGGGTTTGGGCTCTCATTGATCGCCCTTTATAGGTCTAATTTGGGTCTGAAGTCAGACAAGTAAATTTCAGTCGCCGTTTATGCCAGTAAGAACGCCGATGAAGGAACGATTTATATGTTGGTTCCATCTTACATCGGTCGAGTGATTGTCCATCCGGGGACCATTTGTCACTTTCAAAGGCACACTTGACCTTCCCAAATCTCGATGGCGACAAGTCCACTTTCGCTAAAATCGAAGGGACAGAGACTCGCTTTTAATCACTAGGTGGAGAAAGTTAAAGAACGCTAAGCAGTACTCACTTCTTCGCAGACTCTTGACGTTGCTTTCGTCTTTTGAACAGCGACTTCATGGACGAACCAGCTTCCGAGGTAACTTAATTCCGCTGGAACTTCTGGTTAAGCCTGTCAAATTGTCTGGATTTGCGTTTCCGGGTAATGTGAACAACTTTATGCATGACTGTTGCAACGGCAAATCCAGCTTAGAAAACTCTTTCACTAGCCAATAAGGTACCAGGCAGCAATGTAGCATTTTGAAAAGAAGACTTGAATAATCTCCATCACCGCCCCCGCATCTAGGTAAAGAAACAAACAAACACCTGCGCAATTGTTCCAATTTCGCTATAAGGAAGAACGGGTACCCCTGCATTGCAATATAAGCGTATGGAGTCGAGTACATAGTGCCATTGTTGTCTCTTCCGACAAGGACCGTGTCCAAACGCAGGTAATCATCATCTTGCATTGGAATACAACATCCCTGCCAAACATAACTATCCGAAAAGTAAAGTACGGAGCAGTCCTTCCCATATCCGCGATGATGTGTTTTTGATTTGGCAGGCTCTAGGTACTCTTAGGTGCCGCTTGTTCTAGAAGCCCGGCCGAGCTTGATCAAATAACGCCTATCGACTTGCATGGCATTAATTGAGTACTCTCCTTTTTAGTATAGACATCCGCAAGGCCCGGCACAAATTACGCACGCAAAACGGCGTTATGTCGGCTTTTGCTTTCTTCTTGGAACGCCGTCATCGCTTGGGAGAGCAAATCATACGGTGTGGCAAGGCTACCTGATTCACGAACAAAGACAACGAAGAGTTTATTGGACAACGATTTCGAAAATCATCCCGAAGATGGCAGGGGAGGGTGACAAATCGGATCCCAAGGCGTGGCTGGGCGGGATCCACCAACCAGAGCCCGACTTGTGGTGCCACGCGATGTGCATCATAGGGGTTCACTAGGCCAGAGAAGGAAAGCAAATTCGCAGAAGGCGACGAATGATTGGGTGACTATATTTAAGCTAAACTAGTGGTCCCGCATTCCGTACCGCTAGTCCGCATTTGTTGGTTCTAGATTGTTGCCCCTTTAAGAAATCGACTCACCGTACGCGCTTTGCTGACTCCTAAGGGCAAGAATGACATTGCGAATCGCACAACTTGGTGGGTCTAACTTTGTATGCAAGTTATTCCTTGATCATACGATGCTCGAAACGCTTCGAAATTGTCTGGCTGTCTTCATTCCCTACGTAAGGAAGAAATAAATATTTAACTGCCTATCCCGAAGTATCCAGAAAGTCTTGATTTTGATAACCTCATTTCCGCATATTCGACCGTTACCGACTGGCTTTGTGTTTTCAAGCAGACTCGGATAGGACGGACCACTGTCACTTCAATGCCAAAGCCTTTTAGTAACATGCATACTCCAATACCCAAGCTAACATATAGTATCAGAACAACACCCTCCTAGCGGCATTGATTCCACTAATATCCCATCTTCGTAGTGCGGTATGATCCATCCACATGGACCAATCCCCCCAAAAAGCGGGCCTCAGAATTTGCGCATACTCCCAGTCGAGAATCCCTGTGACTCTATTCTCCTCGTCAACCATAATATTTCGAGGCACAATATCAGCATACGTAAACACAGAATAGCTGAATCGCGGTAGCATGTCGGGTAGCTGTTCAAACCGACGACCTCCGAAGTGAAGATAACGCTCGTAAATACGAGCCCGCAATTCTGAATCGTTCATCAAAGGCTGGGTTGGTGTTTGTAGATCCTCAATCAACGGGTCTCTTGTTGGAGAACCATCAGCAGCACATTGGAAAAGTCCTCTCAGCTCCAATGGTGGTTGAATATTGCGTATCTTGGAAATAAAATCCCATATCTGACGACAGATAGACTCCTTGGTTTTCTCATCCAGCTTATCCCATTTCTCCTCTAGAGGAGATCCAGGAATAATAGTCATTTGGATATTACATATTATGATCGAGGCTGAAACTCTTATGAAGTACCTCGAACACGGGAACAGAGGTATGTTTGCTTACAAGCATCATCGCTTCTGCCTCGGCAGGTTGCACGGCATGCCCAGACTTGATCACGTAGGAAAAGTCATGCTCAAGCACAAGTCTACCACTTTGGTTGCTCAGAACAGAGAGCACCTCTTGATTGGGTTGTAGATTTAGGATACTTACCGGTGACGGACACGGGTATAACGTTTGGCCTTCTTTGATATATCGGTTTCCCTCTCGAAGACTTTTCAATAGGTAAGGAACGCCACAAGAGCAATCAGACATTTTGCGGAACTCTGTCGGTAGTCGTTATTAGCAATGATCACAGTGTATGTATTCAAGCGTTAAGTGCCTAAGTTTGAGTTCATAACATCCATGCCACATGGATGTCACTGGGTCTGGGCCTGGTAGAGAGCCAAGCCAAATCGGGTACTGCATATGAATATATATTTTCCCCTCACGCATCAAGCGTGGGAAATCGCAAACATTCTTTCGCCATGGCTCTATTTTCCGTAGTCAGCTTCTGATATCATGATCGGCAGAAACAATGGGCACTCTGTGCTTAGATAGAAAGTGTTCAGAGGTGGAAACAAATTATAACTCCTCGGCGACCTCAATTCTCAATTGGTACTTTGCACCAGCATTTATAACACTGGAATATTTATAATAACTAGTGTAGACGATCCATGCAGGTGCCCTAGTTAGAGAAACAACTAGGCGATGAATAAATGGTTTCGCTAATGTCGAGCAACCCCAATTTATGCATGCAACACATCAAGTCTACCCTACTGATCTTAATTCTGACGATTAAAAAGATAGACTCCAGCTAGGTATTATTCAAGTCATATAGCAACCATCGTATGCGCTAAAATGAAGATACTTACACATAATTGCTTGACTACTTAATTACGATGCCATGTCAACTTTGAGTACCTGAGTATTACTTTAACCTTTATTTTGGCTTTCGTATAGAATCCTTGGAGGATCCGCAGTAAGTAGTTCTTACATATGAATCTGAACTACATCGTGAATCTACATAATGCACGCTAGACATAAGATTAATGCAAGCAAAGAACACATGGTGGCGCAAATTTCCCTCTGGCACAAAAAAATAGCCCCAAAATCGTGTTCCATCACTACTAACCTACATAGCACCTAACTACCGAGGTAGCGAGGTCATATCGTATTTGACAATGATACATAGTGCGCTGCTTATAAAGGAATACAGGGGAGGAGCTCTGCTGGAGAATGCCTTTGCATAGCTATCTCCAAGTCCTTACAAAACCCTATGCTGTGAGGTACCACGATAAATAAAATAAACTACTGACTAGCTTGTTGTCAGCAATGCATCAACAAGGTGGGGATATCTCGTATAGAAGCCTCGGGCTATTTAGGTTGGCATGTGATAATCTTCACCTCGCTTTTTCAATTTGAAAGAAAGTCAATCAACCTGCTCATGGAATAAGAGCCAGAATAATGGACGAAGCAAAAAACGGAAAATACAAGCCAATTGTGTTGAACGTAAATATGCTTGAAGAGGCATATTACAGATTTGGATATGAAGTCTCTTGGTGCATCGGCGTAGTATCTTGAGGCTGAGCTAGTGAGGTCACTCATCGTATAGTTAGAGCCATACGAGCTCATTTCAGGTACTATATAGTGTATACTACATGAAAACATACTAAGCTAGCGACTTCACCCATGTAACCATCCGTAGAATACAAGGAAATAACCTCGGGGCTTCAACTTTCAACTTGCAATGTATAGAGGGCCTCATGCAGGAGTCATCGGTGGCGTGGTATTTGGGTAGCATACCTAGGTATATAGGTAGGTGTAGTCAAGGCACGCAGATAAACTATATTCTCTGAATCTGACAGTGACTCCAGAATTGTCTGTACACTGATTTCTACTCTAAGCTACCTCAACATGCATGCCATCTCGAAACGACTGGGCCTTGCCCTACTTATCCCAGGCTTTGTTACTGCCACGCCCATGGGAGATTTACTTGCTAAACGCGATGCCTCAACCTACAAGGTAAATGCGGTCTGCACTGCGTGAGTTGATACCTCTCCTTTAGGGGAAAAAAAAAAAAAAAAGAAGCAAAAGCTGAAGTTTTGTCCCAAAACGCCTTTGATCAGAGACCAACTGCTCCGCTATTATGGGACAGTAAATACCGGTCTATTTGGTGACAATCTGTGGTGGCAATCGGCAAATTTTATCTCTGCTCTAGCGACATTTTTCCAGCTTGACACAGACTACTCCTCCATACACTCCGACATCTTCCCCATCACTTATACTTATGCTCCAGGTTATGGTGACTACACCGACTTCCTCGATGCGTACTATGATGACGAAGGTTGGTGGGGAAATGCCTGGTTGGATGTCTACGACCTTACTGCCAATGAGACGTACTTGGAAGCGGCCATCACAATCTACAACGATGTAGTGGACGGAGAGGGAACACCATGCGGAGGTATTTGGTGGGACAAGGCTAACACGTATGTCGCTGCAATTTCGAATGGTAAGCTTGTTCTTCTTATATTTTTTCAATGAAAGCCGAATACCGAGGTACTAAACATATATGCTTAGGGCTATACGCCGAATTGTCTGCTGGTCTCGCCAACCGCGTATCTTCGGATGAGGCCTCCACTTATCTCGCAAGCGCCGAAGCAGAATGGGACTGGTTCTTCAGCTCTGGCTTGATTGACTCCGACAACATCGTTTATGATGGGTTGGGGTCCGATGGCTGCACACCTAGCACTGATATCTTCACATACAACCAAGGAGTGATTCTCGGGGCGGCAGCGGAACTGTACAAGGCAACAGGCAACGATACATACCTGACACAAGCAGCAGCACTTGCCGATGCATCTACTGCCGATGGATCTCCCGTGACTAGCAGCAGCGGTATCTTGACCGAGAGCTGTGATACATCTCAAAGCTGCGACACAACATCCGAGATGTTCAAGGGCGCTTACATCCGAGGGCTCAGGAAGCTGCAGCTTGTAGATCCGGAGACAGACTGGCTCAATTACATCACAAGGAATGCACAAAGCCTCTGGAATAACGACCTGGATGTCGAGTCGGTGGATGGCAATTCAGAGTGTGTTGTGGGCTCGGCTTGGGCTGGTCCATTCGATGCTTCACAGGCCAACGCGATTACTCAAGGATCAGCTTTGGACGCTCTAAATTCTGCTCTTGCGGCGACTACGTGAATGGCCTTCATTCATCTACAACCTGAGCCTGTACATACAATTTAAAGTATATTTGCGAGCAAAGGACATGCTTCGTAAGTTATGCAGCCTATAATGCAGCCGAATATAGACACCGTCGAACGTCCAATGTTCCATAATTTTATTGAGAAAAAAATCCCAACTCAGATGGTGAGTTATGTGGCCGTCTCCTCAGACGGAGGCTCTCCAACATCTTCTCTTCCGTCTTGCCAACTAGAACAATTCGTGCATCGGAGGGCCTTTTCCTTATTGGTTAATCATTGAAGAATATATGGCATAGAATAAACATACTTACCCTGCGGTTGATCTATTTGAAGTAGTATTTGCACTTGACCATTCTCTTGATCATTGATCTGTCGTGTGAAATCAGCACATAGAAATGCGCCAGGGCGTATAATACTATGCCGACACCCAGAAAGCTGATTACGTTATTCAAAAAGGCTCTATTGGCTTGTTTAGTTTCCATCCTACAGCTCAGAGGAGAATAGAAAAGGTTCAAAGACCTACCCATAAGCCATGACCAGAGCGCCATCATCTCGCGCCTGCGTAAGAGTATTATAGCCTCTTTCAGAATCATAGCTGGGACCCTTTCTGAGAACCGCAAACTTCTCGTCAAGATTACGGTGAAGGAATGGTAAGAGGGAGATTATTGGAAGAATCATGTCCGAGACGAACGATGTTACGACCTTGGTGAATGCTTGACCGATCCTAAGCAGTCAGATTTGTAGACCTACGTAGGTACGCTAGACGTACATCAAACCGATGGCAACCTCTAGGACGTTTTCGCGCATGGCGAAGTCGACAAAGCCTTCCCAGGCGTGTCTGACGTGGTCCGTTGCATCGTAGCTGAGATGGAGCAGTATTTCCCGGCTGTCTTCTAGGCCATGCATGGTCCTTTGCCTTTATATTTTCTTTTCTTCTGATATATCAACGTAAGCATCAATTTATCGGCGAGACTTGACGGAGAGAATTTAGTGTAGGTTGGTGGCGGGGTAATGGAATCCTATTTTAGATTTTAAGAATCTGGTTTTATGTGTAGATCGGTCATATGAGAAGACGATCATAGCTAGGCAGCTAGGTTCGCTTTAAGTAGATATCTTGACGGTGCATTTCTCCCCATGTTTCCACTTCCATGGCATCGAGAAACAGAAAAGTTTTTGACAACCCGAGAACAATATCCAAAATCAATATCTGCCAGCTGTTGCTAGTGTATGTACATATGCAGGAGCCAGGCCATGCTTGCTAAGGTCGGCTTTGTAAAACCAAAGGGCATCCAACCAAAGCCAACACGAGCTATCCGGAACTTATGATTAGGGCATGTCGGAACGACATCCAATTGATTCAACAGTCAGCCACATTCTGGGATCCAAGTTAGTGACGCCCGCGATGCGTCAGACACCAACAGGCTACAGCTGTCATCCCCAGGCTAGCCCTCGCGAGAAAATCGCATCGGCAAACTCAGTCTGGAAATCACCAGCTGCTGCGCTAGGATGGCCTAGCCCTGTATCCCGGCGCTTTAATATAAATGTTCATTTGATGGAAACTACGCCCGGGATTATGATAGGCAAGCAAGAAAAGCCCGAAGCCAACAATGAGGGGCATACATACTCGCTTCAACGTGGGATTGATCCGGATTCCTTATCCACGCCCCCTCTTTTCCATTCCTTCATGATGGGCGAGAAGCAAAGGAAACAAAGAAATAGAATAAACACAAAGGTAAAAGCAAAGCAGAGAAAAGGAAAGGATTACGCGATTCGCTGGATGGAACAAGGGCTGCCAACCGTGGAAGTGCAGGATAAAAAAAAAAAAAAACAAAAACAATAAACAGCGTGATGAGATAAAGATTCCTTTCCACTTGGTTTTCTTCTTCCTGGACTGCTGGTCTCTTTGATTTCTCCACCGGCGTGTAACTTGCTTCCAATAAGCCTCGTTGTCGGCTTTTATTTGACTTTTCCTGGGCTAATATCTGGGTATACATACCTCTTCCGGAAAGGGGGACGAGGACACAAGCTGGCCACTCACCCATCGAGAAGGAAGAAAAGAATCCATGGGACGGTACCATGACAACTCCCTCCAGTTTCTTCAGAACCATTCTTCCCCACGGTACGAACGCATCGGTCCGGCCCGATCAATTCGCTTCAGAACTTCTGGAGCGTAAGTACCGAATTCAAAAGTCGGTCATTCGGCATTCGTCCTTGAACTGCTTCTGCCTTTACTGCTACCAAGGGTTTGCTCGCATGGAAGATCTATACCGCCACGCAGCTGATAGTGGCGAAGGCCATTCTCACATTCTCCGCGAAAACCGGAACAGGGAACCACGGGGTTTCTACAATTTCTTTCGAGAAGCCCTAAACCTGACCGAGGCGCATATCGATGACTGGACCATCTGCCACATGCGCGTTCCTGACCTCTTCGACCCAGCCGTCTTGATGGAGCTACTCAAGACTAAGAAGAACTACGAGTCTGCGATTGCCCTACAGGATGCCATTATCATGGCCACATCCTTGCGCGCCACCTGTCCAATATGCTGTCGCAGTTTTAGCCTGCACGCAACACTGAAAACGCACCTCCGAGACCATGGGTCGGAAGACCATGCGAACTTGTTGGCAGAGCCTGATGGCAGGTTTGACACTGGTCGGGTTATCACGGAAATGGTGAATTCTGCCTGGAATCCGTCTGGCAACGGCTTTCTCAAAGAGCCCCGACTGCGCAGTATGTTTTCCTTGCAGCTCTGTATCTTGTATCTTGTGTATTGGTGTTGTTGTTGTTGTTGTTGTTGTTGTTGCTGATTGATGGGTGGGCAGCCTCGACGACGATTTACGATGTGATCACCGGGGAGACCCATGTAAGAAGTATGCGTTGATGCAGCCAGCCTTGGAAGAGAAGCAATACTATCGGGATGGATATCGGCAGACTTCTTTTCTTTCTTTCTGGCATTTGAAGCGATATTCAATTGCACATCCGGTACTCTGTATATGGATAGAGCAAGACGCGACACGAAATTGACGACGGTAATGAGAGCGACGCACCTGATTTTCTTGCTTTCTGTTGGAATGGGCCGTTAGATGTAAGATATTGGTTGGTTATAATTAGTATCTACCTAGAACTGGTCTAGGAAATAATTCAAAGCTTCACTCACCGCATGAACTGCGCTCGGAGGCGGCAGAGAATAATGATAATCAGAACAGCCCGTGAACCATGTTACGTCGTCAAATTCTCAATGTAGAGTTAGAATTGCTGGGATGTCATAAATAGCGGTGCGGTGACATGTAAGTCCAGGCAGCACGAAGTACAGGGCATAGGCTTCTGTACAACGCCAGATGGCATCAAATGTGCAAGTTCGCGAACAAAAGAGGCTCGGTTAAGGTATCAACAGCTTCCTTTTGTAGGCGTCCGGAGATTTCAGCTGCTAGAAGCCTGAAACAGCTGCCAACGTCATAAGCTGACGAATCTCGCGCCGGCTAGAGCGTTTCAGGCGTTGGTGGATACGCTATTCTCTCCATATTTGGTGTGGAGAAGAATTGGTGCTAAGTAGTACAGAGTACAAAAAGAATGGATAATCTTTCAGAGGCAGGCATTGAGACTCGTCATTATCAAACGTCGACGTCCAGAGTACGGCTCACCGGTTTTCATCTGCAACGAGTTGCCGGCTGGTACCGAGTAGTACTGCTACAAAACCCAGAGAGCGGAGGTCGGAAAATGGAAATGAGATTGAGAATAAAGATGGAAATGGACCTTCTATTCTGCTTACTCGCACTATTGCTTCTCTTCCAGTCGGTGGCCGGACTGTCTTTTGGTAAGCGGAAGCTGAGCGAGCCTCCTTGCCAATCTCTCAATACTGAATCCAACAGAATTGGCCATCCCCTGGGAAACACGTCCGCGCTACGGGGAGCAGTCAGTGCTTGACAAAGGCAAGTCGGATTCTTTTTCCTACTTTTTTGAACTCTCGGGTTTCACTCAACGGGAAACCGCCGTGGATGCTGACTGTCTAGCTTAGTGCAATGCTGGTCATGTTCTGAGCCGTGCAGCCTGATGTTATGTTGCGACGATGGATATCCATTCTGTACGGATGACGAAGGGGTTTGTTATTGCAGCTCGTGAAAGATGAAAGGAATATGTACCAAGTATAAATAGGACTACCAGTACCTAATGCTATTGAACTAACTTACTACTCCGTGCATCATCGTAAGGACATTGACAGCGACAACTTGAAACAGCCGATCTTCCCGAAAACTTCCCTATGGGAACAGACTATTGAAAGATCTCCGAGTGTGAGAGCCACAAGGCTCAACCTGATACATCGCTTTTTCCTCTTTGGAAAGTCGTGAGGCTTGGGGATCACGCCCATGTGAGACTCGGCAACGGATTAAATTCAATAGTCCATCCCTGGCTGCGCACAAATCACATCCCATCGGAAATCGAACCGCGAGGGAAGAAATGGATCTTTGACGTTGAAAGGGGCAAAATGGTTCAGCTTTCGCCCGGCTTGCAGTTCCACGACCAAAATTGCAGTCAAACTAGACTCAAAATATAAGACAGCTATCCTCCGTGCCTTGTCTGTCATCCGAGGGGATGGAATGGCTATATAAGTAAGCTGCATTTTCCCCGATAGTCTTCTTTTCAAGCTTGCTTCCTAACTCGTTACCTCATCAGACTTCAGCAGTCAAATCAATCTGTCCCTTGTTTTTCAGTCTCTACCTAGTCAGTGACAACCCGTTCAAGGATGAAGTGCTCTCTTCTTTCCAGCGTGACCCTCGCCCTTGCGTTGTGTCTCACGCCTGCCTATGCTGTTTTAAACCCTGAAATTCCATCCAACCCGTTTGGTAAGTTCCATTGAACATTCCCTGCTCAACATCGCCTTCTGACACCCCGTCAAGCTATCACGAAGGACCTCGATAAAGGCGGATACTACCTCGATCTGCCAGGAACGTCCAAGCTCACGATGAGAGATGAGGGTAAGTTTCGCTTTTGCGGGATTGAATCCAACCTTCATTCACTAATGTTGTGGTCTCTTACTAGATCTCTGCTATACGTGTAGTGGTCCTTGCTCAAAGTTAAGGTGCTGCGATGGTGACAGACCGCAATGCGCCCAGCTGGATGGACACTGCCAGTGCCAGCCCAAGTCCGGCTAATCAAATCTGCTTCAATGTGTGACTAGTCGTACTCACTTAGTTAATGACCCCTAATTCAAAGATTCAAATAATGAGATGTGTGGATTCTAAAATCGCCCATCCGAATTATAATCTGAAGTAACGTGGGAAGATGCAGCAAATGCTCCCCGGGAAATTCGCGCATTCGCCGGTGATAGTATGCAACAGCTGCCTGAGGCTCTGCACATCAAGTATCGGCATAGAAAGGATAAAAGTGTCAGTATTCTTCGCCTTTACTTATTCAAGACGTTTCGGAGATTTTACTCGGAGTTAATTCACCGGTTACTTATAATGTTCGGGCTTATATACTCGCAATGTCGTTCTGGCTCTGACTTGGAAGGGCAATCAGTACATCAATGTCTTTGTCTTATGAAATTTTAGGGCTTGCACAGCCCTGGAATGCGAAGGTGGCATCCTTACTCCATCAAACGACCTCAACAACAATCCTCGTTGGAGCTCTTGTATTCTTGGTACTGGTTGGTTTCGATAGCTCTATATCCATGGACTTGAAGCATGCAACTAATCGCATAGTGACATTAGCGTGTGTTATTTCGAGCGTATCAGAACCCCTTGTCAGGATATCCAGGGCCATGGATTTCAAAATATACCGACCTTGTTGTAACATACCACTTTCTCTTGGGAAACAGACCACGCTATGTGCATGCTCTTCACCAGAAATATGGTAAGGCATAATTACTACTATTTTTATGAACACTTAATCGGGGTGCTTTCACATCCTTACTCGGTTATGTCTGAGTAGCGAGTCTTGCAACTGAGTGCTTTTCAGGTCCCGTCGTCCGAGTCAGTCCCTATGAGCTAGACATATCCGAAATTGACGCCGTCAAGGAAATTCACCGCGTCGGAGGACGATACTTGAAGTCTGATTTTTATGAGAATATCGGCCACCGAAGTCTGAAGACTCTCTTTAGCACAACTGATCCCACTCACCATGCCATCCGGCGGCGGCTGCTATCAGCTGGAATGGCGCGCAGCAATCTTGCACGCCTGGAGCCAGTGGTAATGGAGCGCGTGCGTATGACGATTCGCCGCATGTCAGAGGAACGAGCAACGCGCGGAGTGATTGACGTGTTTAAATGGTGGACCTTTATGGCCACTGATGTTATTGGAGAACTGAGCTTTGGGGAATCTTTTCGGACCTTGGATAAAGGAGAAGTGAGTGAGCATTAACCTCTTGGATTGAAGAAAAGAAGAACGAGACCCTGATTGATGCATCCCAACTAGAAAACCCAGTATATCAAAGATCTTGAAAATATTTCCTCATTTATGGCAATTCGTACGACTTTCCCTACTCTGCTTCGGTATGCCCAGTTCATACCAATCTTTCCTCTCCTGAAAAGGGTCTCGGAAGCCGGTCAACGGATGTTTCGTTATGCTCAGCAGGCTATCGGTCGATACCAAAATATGCTTGTGAACATCCCCGATCCTAAACCGACGCTCTTCACGAAGATGTTCAAAGGCGGCCCCGATGGGCTGACTGAATTCGAGATTGTGCTTGAAGCCGGTGGCTATATAGTGGCTGGCAGTGACACAACTGCTATCACATTGACATATCTCGTATGGGCAGTTTGCAAGAGACCATCGATACGTGACCAATTGGTGGCCGAGGTTGCAAGCTTGCCAGAAGATTTCAAAGAGGAAGATCTTCGCGATTTACCGTATCTTAACCAGGTAAGGTTTCCAAACCAGGAGGACACGATAGCCATAAACGCATTCTAATAGTAACTCTTGTCAATTTCTAGGTTATCCAAGAAGCTTTGCGACTGCATTCGGCCGTACCCAGTGCCTTACCACGAGCTGTTCCACCAGAAGGGGCCAGCTTGGCTGGATATCATATCCCAGGAGGTATTACAGTGTCTACGCAAGCTTATACTCTCCACCGTAGCCCGGCAATCTTCCCGGAACCAGAAAGGTAAATCATTCCACAGACCCTTGAAGGAATTTGATGTTGAGAGGTTTGAGTAAACTAATGTTGGATACAGCTTCAATCCGAGTCGATGGCAAGATCCATCCAAGGAGATGAAGAGCATGTTCATGCCTTTCGGGGGTGGCTCTCGCAGTAAGGACCCCAACTCAATACCCTTGTCTTTGACTAACGAGAGGAACCCTTCGCAGTCTGTATTGGCATGCATCTTGCATGGATGGAGTTGCTTCTGGCGACTGCCCTCTTCTTCCGCACGTTCCCTGGGGCTCGCATTTCTCAGAGTGAAGGAATGTGTGATGCAGACATGGAGGCCAAGATGTACGTGCTGGTATCATCCAGGGGTCGCCGCTGTTTGGTTGAGATTTAAGCGTGTGCTACTTTCCATTTTGTCTTGAAAATAATCCTATCTTACTGTCTTCTGAAGTTGAACGCTTTTTCTATAGTCAATCAAGTACCGAAACTGCCTAAATAGGGCACAGCTTGCAACTACATAACACAGAGAGGACCTCAGTCTCCCAAGTACTATTATCCAAGTATACAAATCATGTTGCTCAGTGCTACTCCTTCGTACTGACAATCGGCTCACTAGCATAAGCATCCACTTCTTCAGAGGCAAACTTCCTAGCACTAATTTTTCGAGCGAATAGAATATCTAGCTCTTCATATGTTCTACCTTTTGCTTCTGGAAGACGAAAGTAGGCCCATATAAAGGTCAAGAGCGCCGTGCCACCCCAAAAGAACCCGGTCTTGCCCGAGGCATTCCAGGCGGTTGGGTTCATGAAGTATGGCTCAAGAACCTGGCTCACAACGTTGACAATCTGATAAGTCACTCGAGCCACGGAGACCGTCAGACTGCGTAAACGCACTGAGGAAGTTTCAGCAACGATAGCATAGGCAATCGGTCCCACGGTGAGCGAGTACACCAGTAGCCAGAATATGCACAAGCCGGCTTCTGCCCACACGGCCCCTGTTGCGCTCGAGGCGCAATTAATGATTCCAACAATAAACAATGTCGTACATAAGATCCCCTGTCCGGTAACGTAAAGTGTGCGCCGGCCAAAGTGGGTGATCAACCACCAGGAGCAAATAGTGCCGACAAATGCGATGGCGGTATCGCCAAGGTTCAGCTGATAGGCATGGCTGGTGTTCATGCCTGCAGTTGTAAAGAAATAAGTCGGTGAGTAAGCAAATGTGCTGCCCGACAGAATCTGACCGCAAAACGCCATGCAGCAGATCTCAGTGCGGCGCAGGTCGGTTCCTCGAAAGCAATCCAAATAACTGGCCCCCTCCTCAAATGAGGACTCGATCTTAGCCGTATGCACTATCATTGCCAGTTGACCATTGATCTGGTCTTCTGTTTTGTCTCCTGCAAGGCGCCGTAAGGAGCGCTTTGCTTCTTCTAAACGATCATGTCGAACCAGATACCAGGGTGATTCTGGAGCAAAATAGCAGACGATCATCAAGGGCAGCGGCCATGCCCATTGTACTGCAAAGGGGACACGATATGACCACTGACTTTGCACATTTACTAGCCCTTCCACGACGCCGGCAGCTATAAACTGGCCAATTGCCCAGCACAGATTGACATAGATTGTGAGGTAGCCACGGAGATTGGTTGGACACACTTCTGACGCGTACGCAGGACCGACGATAGCGAAGACCCCCCATGCCAAGCCACAGAGAAGTTCACCGGCGACTAGAACTCCGTCTGAAGGCGCAAAGAAGACAATAAAAAGCAAGCCGTTTATTAAGCCGAGAGCAGTAATCATAACCCATCGATAGCCGACGACCGAAGTCAGGTAACCGTTCAATAGGCCGCCTTTTCTTGGTTAGATTTATAGCAACATAATAAGTGTGAACAGACAAGAAGAAAATGCAATTACCGAATATCGTCCCAACTGTACTAGACAGACTCAGTGCAGACTGCCAGGGCGCAGAGACCTGCCATCCCACCGAGCCCCCATAGTCATGGCCATATTTCCGGACAAATTGTGGATAGGCATAGAAATTGCCTATCAAGGATATGTCGTAGCCTTCCATGACAATCGAAAGAGAAATGAGCATGGACCACATCACGGCCTTCCGATTGGCACTGAGCGCCTGGAAGAGGGTCTGCGAGTGCTCTTCGTCTGAGGCCTGTTTGGCCTCGGTGATGGCGCCGCTGCCGAGGGTGGTCTCTACATGAGTGGCCGCGGACTTTTCGAGGTTGAATTCGGACGAGGCCATAGTGACAGTCCACTATTAAAGAGCGTTATGGCCTGTAAGAAGGGGGAGAAAAAAAAATAAAATCCTGGTGCATATGCCGATCAAAAGAAGGCCGGGATGGGGCGGAGGACATGTGTTATATACGCCATATCTCCGGAACAGTGCCGCCTGAATAAGACAGCAGGAGGATGGAGGACAACATGGATAATTTGCGTGTGGCAGATGATTATTGTCCAATGAAGTAGCAGATTTACGTCAAATGCAGGCCTCCACTAGCATGCGGAGAGCATGGAGTTTACCCCGGAATGTGGAGAGGGCCGGGCTAGAACCGTGGATGATAGAGATAGCTTTTTCCGGGGTTGTTCATTTAGGATAATTGTGCTATTTAGCCTGTACACGCATGCATTTACGTGGAGGCAGCGAAGCTTGAGCGGTATTGGTGGAGTTGCTTTTTGCCGGGCAAGGGGCGACATTCCGCGGTTATGGCTATTATTGCTATTAGCGGATGGAGGACGTTGAAATATAGCCGGATCCCAATTGACCATAAGCCTGCAATTGTTCGACGCATTCTCGAAGGAGCTAGGTAGGTAGCTCGCAAGTAGCAGGCTTCGAGGTTCTTCGGCGTCAGAATCATGCAGAACCTGGGTAAAACCCACGGACAGCAACAGCCACTATCAATGTATCACAACGTCAAACATTCGGTCGAGATGTCGCTGGAAATGACGAATCAAGCAATATCACGTGGTAGCTGAAAGTGTAGTTATCGGCGAATTCCTTCCCACATCAAATCCTCGAACACGCGCCGGGAAAGCACAACAAACGCTCCTCAAGTCAGGGCATCACAATAGTTCGCCAGCTTTCGGAGGAGAGTGAAAATACAGTCATCAGTTTCGAGTAAAACGGGCGGAAGGGGCTTCGCTCTCGGTGCGGAACTACTGCTGCAGAGCGCGTTTGAAGACTGAAAATCTCGCTAAACGATGGAACCAGAGGCCAACCCGATAAAAGTGCGCCTTGCTGTCGCATCCGACTTGCCATTTTTACCGGCTATAGAGGAGTCTGCTTCGAAAGTATTTGAGACAATTCCGGATCTGTCTTTTATTGCAGCAGATCCGCCTCTTTCTACCGAGACGCACCGCTCCTTTTTATCGGCGAACCACCTCTGGGTCGCCACGTCTGACGATGTACCCGTCGCATTTTTAGCCGCGAAATGCATAGATTCTGTGACAGAAAACAGTAACAGCCATCTATACATTGTCGAGTGTTCGGTTCATTCTTCGTGTCAGAGACGTGGAATCGCAAGTGGGCTGTTTGCATTGGTTGAGTCGTACGCTCGGAAGCAAGGGTTTTCCTGCTTGACACTGGTGACTTTTCTGGATATCCCGTGGAATGGACGTTTCTACCACAAGCTCGGATTTGAGGAAGCCGATGCACAGGCCGTGGGAGACGCGTACGTGAACATTTTGACTGAAGAAATTGATCAATGGAAGGAGTGGAAGCCGGAACGATGGAGAAGAGGAGTTATGGTTCGGAGATTACAATAAATGTTGGATCCGTCTTCCACGAAGTATACATTCGAGTGTATTATTACTTGACCAGTCTTTTCAGACGATAAAAATCGTATCTTTTCAGACAACATTGTTACTAAACTTCTATCGAACTCGTTGCTGATGTGATGTTGCTGGTTCCAGCAAAGAACAAACATCGTAGAAAGGCCCACCTTCTGCTTGGGAAACATTCCCCTGGCGCAAAAAGCAGTTAATGCCTTACTGCGCTAAGGTTCATAGACTTGCGCAAAATCCCAACTGTAAGTGGACGGATACCTTTGCCGTTTTGACTAGCAGTACAGAGTAACGTGGAGACGCATTGCCAGGTGTGGACCTCTTCAAAAGAAAGATATGACCCAGGCCTAGATGGTCGTTCACTAGTCGTTACATCTTGGAAGACTTTCGGACTCGGCATGTGACAGGTCACAATTGGAGTTCCGTGCCTCTAGACGTCGGGGAAATCGATTATCCCATAGAGTTTGGATTCTGCAAAGGAAGTAGACACTAGACAGGGATCAGAAAGTACATAGAAACATTCGCACGCAAACAAAACTGCGTATTTCTGAGTAAAGTCGACCCAGCTACGGCATATCGGATAGTACCAAGTAGTAGTATATGACCCCTCAGGCCACCGCATAGCCATAGATCGACACTGATCCGTCTGTATTATGTAGGGTCAAATCGGTTTAGCCTAGCTGGGGCGTTACTGAACCCTATCGGGAAAAAGCATGCAAAGCAGACCGAAAGAGGACTGTTAAATGTTTTGTCATGTGTAGTTGCTTTTTTCTTCACCGCATTTGACCAGTCACCACAGTCGCGGTTTGTTCTTTTCGTCGTCTGCAGAATGGAACAGAAGAAAGCCCGGATCTTGACCTCGCTGATTGCCTCAGCGAAGTCTAGTGACCTGTACCTAGGTAGGATATAGTGTTTAGTATAAACATTTAGCGGTGTACCTAATATTGTATGCTGCCCACTCCTCGGATCGGACCGGCCGGGGCGTTGCAGCGATCGATGCAATCGTAGTTCATTCACTTAGCAGCAGCCAACTACGTAGAGATACAGGGCAACTAGTTAGTTACTTGAAGCTATTTAACCTCCTGCCTAACTAAGTAGTAAGTGCTAGACACAATTCAGGCCTCAGGCAGCAGCCCCTCGCTGTGATTGGCCGAGAAGCGCGGGCCTGAGGCTAGGCACCGGAACGCGGGAATACAGAGCCGCCGAGGGCTCCGGGCGCGCTGATTGGCCCGCAGCGTCTCAGTCGTCTTTTTCGCTCTCCCTCCGACCTTCTTCGTTTGGTCGTCCGTTCGTCCGTTCCCTCGCTCGCACTACAATTGTCATCATTGCTATCATCATCATCTACTTCAGGTTGTCATACTACCTCTACGACTCGTAGCTCTGCACGCTCGAGCATCAAGCAAGTAATCTGCCGGTCTTACCGCCTTCTGCCGCCTGCCCTACCAGTGCTTTGCTTTTCCCCCTCTCCAGCATCTCACGACGAGCCACGCCCTGCTCTCAGTCTCCAACGCCTCGTTCGTTTCCACGCCACGCGCCCATCGACTCTTCCTTAATGTCCGGACGGCGCATGGGAGTCTGAAAATTGACGCGGGCGACTGGTCGTCAGTCTGATGGCGTCTCGTATCGAGTCGCCGTCCTGCTGATTGAAAATGGATAACCCTGTCACATTCACCCCCGATGTCTCGTCTCAATCTTCCCGTCGCACCCTCTCATCCATGCCTGCCTCTGACGCAACCCCCGCCGGCTTTAACTTCATAACGGTCGACCCGTCTTCGCGAACAGAAAGTTCCTCCAGCCGAACTCTTATCCGTGCAAATGCCGGACGTTATATTTGGAAACGCCGCAAGGCCGGCTCCAAAGAAACCGGCAGAGCAAAGCCATATGAAAGACCGGGCCAACAACCCCCGGCTCCTCTGTCAAGTCCGCCCGAAAATACTGGAGTAACCGCAAAGCCAGACCCCGATTCCAAGGAGATATTACCGACGAATGGGGAGGAAGAGGCGGAAAATGAAAACGCTGTCGTATTGCTCAAACGTGAACCCTCGTCGGAATCCGGTGGCTTGTCGGCTTCGCTTAGTCATGGACTAAAAAGCCCAATGATGACTTTCTTCGGGACTGAAATACCAGAAGACATTGTCCGCCGGACAATTAAATACTGTAGGTCTTTATTTTCATTTCATACTTCGCTTGTCCGTGACTGACACTTGCGTTCTAGCTGCCTCCGTTGTCATGACCAAGATGTTGCCCCAGGACACTAGCCCGGAATCACCAAAAATATCAGATATCTGGCTTTCAAGCGCGCTGCGCAGTCCTGCTCTGTTGTCCGCTTTCTTATATGGCACACTTAGCCACGAATTTGTGCTCGAACGTATGCAGAGCGGCACGCCATCGAGGGAAAGGCGGCAGAAATTGCTACAGATTATGGTTGCCGAGAACGAATCGATTCGCAGAATCAACCAGGCTTTGCAGGATCCCGCGTCGCAAAAGACCGACGAACTGTTGATGGCGGTGTTTTTCATGGGATACAGTCGTTATGATGAAGCGATTTTTTCACCCGGTCGTGACCCACACAAGTCTCCCCTGAATGACATTCAGTGGGCGAACATCTACTCTTACCTCGATTATGATGAGGTCCATGTGATGGGCCTTATACGGTTGCTCGAGATTCGTGGTGGAATCGATGCTATCAGATTAAACGGTTTGGCTGAGATGATGTCTCTCGCAACGATCATGTTTTCGTCAAAATTCATACGAAAGCCACTCTTCCCTTATGTCCCGATTATCAAGACCAACGGACGACACCGGCAGCCAGACTGGCCTCACCCTATCCAGTATCTTCTGGAGATGTACAAAGGAGGCGACTACTCCAAGATGGATGAACTTGGTCTTCCGAGTGAACTAATCACACTCTTCAAGGATATGTACAGCTACAACGCTGTCATCGAACTCTACATGCAAGGCATTTTCACAGGCTCTTTTGTTAGTTCTGATGCACCCATAATGGCCGATCGCCGCAACTCCATCCAACACCGAGCGCTATCCTTGCCGTCTGCTGACGAAATTGGCATGAGCTCCGAATGCCCCACGTATGAGCCATTGAGGCTCGCAACGCTTATCTACTGTCTACTTACCATATTTCCGCTTGTACCCATAATGGCGCCTTATTCTCAGCTGACCATGCAACTACGACAAGCTTTGTTCACTCAATCTCTGCCTCGAGCCTGGAAGAGCGTTCCCGAGCTTTTCATCTGGACTCTAGTTGTTGGCGGCATAGCTTCGACCAAACCTGAAACTGTTACCTGGTTCGCTGCCATGTTAAACCAGGTTTCCACCGCTACCAATCTCTCGACCTGGCCAGAAGTTAAAAAAATCCTCAAGTCTGTCCTTTGGCTCAGCACCATATGCGATGAAAAGGCCGAGGAATTATGGAGGAAGGCCGACGGTCTTCGTGCTCAGGTCCGGCGTCATCAGGAGCAGCAGCAACGTCAACTGCATGAGGTACCTGTGCGGTTAAGAGCGGAGTCGGCAGGTTGATGTCTCTTCTTTTTTTTTATTTGCCGGTCAATTCCTTGTACGGTTCTGTTTCTGCTTTACCCATCTTTTGCAACTTTGTTGTTTATATATATGGACATATATATTTGGAGTCCGGGCAAAATACCCAAATGTGATGAATGGAAATGACGTGTATTTCAACTTTATTCTGTTTTGTTTTGTTTTGTTTTTTTTCTCTGTTTTATTTCCTTCTCTTTTATTTTGTCAGCTCAGGATCGGGTTTCACGACGGACATAATATTTCGTGCTCTACATGTTGATATCAATGATATCAAGGTACCTGTCACTAAGGTTGAATGGACATCGGATAAATTACCTATCTACACGTGCTTGCATATAACAAATGGCAAGACAAGCGTTCATATATCAAACAACGATGCACAGTAGTCACCGAATAGTCTAGCTATATCTATATCATCGAGACATTGCTAAGCTACACCACCTTATCATATGCATGCATTGCCTGATCTGCCGGTTACACTCTGATATCAGTAGCTGTGGAACCTCGCAGAGCCTAACCCCTCTGCTTGCGTGCGAGGAGAATGTGTAACATAAAGGCTTTGTGTGGTTAAGATCACCTGGGAAGAATTCCAATATTGCCTAATTTGGAGATTACTTGCAAGGGGCCAATCAGCCTTTGGCACAAGAATTCTGTCTTGCGTGATTGGAATTCAGCTTCACCTCAGTTAAGAATCTCGTTCTTTTTAGTGGAGGAAGTTGTCTTAAAGCAAAGCATTGACTCTTGGACCACTTGATGATTTATTTCTCTTTTCCCTGGCCAAGTGCTTTCTTCGGCTCTTGCGGCGTATGAAGACCCAGCATGGAACATCCAACGAATAAAGACGATAATTTACTCATTATCGACGAAAAGCTGTCAGCACCAGCGCATCTAAATGTCGACAAGGATGCGTTTGAGAATCCTCTCTCCCCTTCTTCCTCCACGTCGTCACCGTTGGGTGTTCTAGCCCTCGTCTCCACCACCGAAACTCACCACCCAGTTCACTGGCCAGCATGGAGAAAATGGCTCGTCATAACAGTTTACTGCCTTTTGCAGGTCATCGTACTGGCGCTCTCGACATCGTACGTTAGCACCCAAACGCCACTTCAGGAGAAATTTGGCAGTTCGACGCAGGTCATTGCGCTGGGTCAGTCTATGTTCATTATCGGGAACGCTGTTGGACCGTTGTTCTTGGGCCCATTGAGCGATATTAGTGGACGGAAGTGGGTTTATGTAGGAGGGACTGCCATATTTGGGCTGTGCCAAATTGTGTGATTCACCTTTATTTCCCCCTGTTATCTCGTGAGGTAATAAAAGTTGATGGCGGAATGGCCGTATAGGGATGCGCTCTTGCTACTGACATGCCCATGATGATCATCTTCATGCTATTGTCAGGAATTGCCGGCAGTACAGCTATCTCGAATGTTGCTGGCACCATTACCGACCTCTTCGGTGATGCAGACAACACCGGTCAGCCACTGGGGCTATTCGCTGTATCGGCGAACACTGGATCGAGCATAGGCAGTGTGATTGGTGAATTGATCATCGAGAATCCACGTTTAGGGTTGAGCTGGGTTTTCTGGATCAAGTAAGTACTTCTTCTCTCTTGCTTTAAACAATAAGATCAGGCAAGGGCCCGCGCGTATCATTCCATGCTGACTAGATAGCGTGATCCTGGCCGGTGGTATGGTCTTGATCATGACCTTCGTGCCGGAGACGTTGCCTCGTGTGGTGATTTCTCGAGGGTTACGAGAGTCCCAGGCACAGACAAAACAGGTAGGGGCCGATGGAATGGAAAACTGGATAGCGCAGTCACACATCGCCATTATCAAGGAGACGCGCTTCGTCGCCACTATGGCGTTCAGGATTTTGTTCACTGAACCCACCGTCCTATGTCTGGGGCTCTTCAACGGGTACATCTACGGACTGCTCTTTTTATACCTTTATGGCATATTTGATGTCTTTGTTGTGAATAATCATCTCTCGTATGCACATACTCCCGTTTATTTCAGAGCTGCCTTGAGTGTACTTACCGATACCCAACAGAGTGATCGGTGCCAATTTGACATACCTCAACCTAATTGTGGCTGTTGTCATCATGTTCATCGTCTTCGTTCCTATACAAACAACTTTATATAAGCGAGATCGACTGAAGAACGGCGCTGGGCGACCCGAGGCACGATTCTTGATATCCCTCTTTACTGTTTGGGGGTTTCCCATCTCGCTGTTCTGGTTTGCGTTTACTTCCAGCGGAAACGTCTCTTTTTGGTGCCCAGTCGTCGCTGGAGCTGTGATGGGTGTCGTTAATCCGCTACTATGGTTGAATATCATAAACTATATCACAGACAGTTATCAGAATGTGGCAGGAAGCGCAGTTGCGGCTTTTCTAATACCAAGTCAGATGGTTGCAGCGGCATGTGTACATATAGGTATGTTCTTTTATGCTAGCGCTAATAGAAATGGCACATGTCAATTACGTACCATGTGCTCTTTCAGTCCTTGGTTCTTCAGTTTCTGACAGGTTTCCCCGGCAAATTGTATAGGTATCGTCATGTTTGACAATCTGAGCCCGAAATGGGCATTCTTGATATTGGGTTTTGTATCGTTCGGTGTGGTAGCATCAGTGTACGTGTTCTACTTCTGGGGATCAGGGCTGAGGAGGAGGTCCAGGTTGGCGATGGATCCGAGTTTGTAATCGAGTGTCATTTATTCGCTGCGTATGAACGCTCACATGTGATACTATACTACTGTGACACAAGACCCGTACATTTTGCTTTTCGGGGTCAATGCTCTTGTACAACATTTATGAGTAGATGCATGGTACTCCTTGGTAGAAAACAGACGCCCGTAGACATTAACAGGAAGACATATGTGCCCTCTTTGTCTATGCGTAGATCCAGATCCAGCTGTATACGAAATATGCTCAGCATCTACTAGTGAGCGTAAAGCAGCTCCCATCTGACCTTCGTTTCAAGTGTAAACAGACATCCTAGAGTACAGAAAGCGGGGGAATGCTCCAGCCATCATCCATTTCTGATCATATATGGGCCGAAGCATGCCAGTTCCCGGAACCTGGAAACCATAATACACACTAATGCATGGCAAGACAATGTTAAGGAAATATACGAGACTCTTTCGGGAATACCAGAATCGACTCAGATCTAAAATTTAAAGGACATATTGCTCCTTCTTGATCTCGGATATCCCGAGACATCTCACTCTTTTAAGTCCAAGTTATGACCGTTTGTAAAAGATCTTTACTTGCAAGGGTAGAAAGCCGCGGACTGTCATTACGCATGAACTAGTAGCATTGACCTACCATTCTGTGTACAAGCGAGCGAACGAGATATGAATCTTATCAAAGTTGAATCCGCGCACATAGCAACTACTCAGCATGAGAACCATGTTGACTTGGCTCTCACAAAAAACCACGACGCTGCTGAACTGGGCCAGTCAGCGACTGATCGGTAAGTCTGAATATCAAATCATATCGTTTCAATCCCCTGATGAATAAAAACAGCTATGGCCGGCCTTTGATTCAGTTCGATCCCGTTGCCGAGAAACGTCTGGTCAGGAAATTTGATCTATACATCATTCCAACTGTTTCCCTGTTGTATCTCTTCTGCTTTATTGATCGCGCCAACATCGGCAACGCTAGACTTGCTGGCTTTGAGGAGGACCTTGGCTTGGAAGGGAATGACTACAACATAGTGTTGTCCGTTTTCTTCTCCTCGTATATTCTATTCGAAATCCCGTCAAACATTGCGTGCAAATGGATCGGGCCTGGCAAGTTCATTCCTGCATTGACCTTGGGGTTCGGCATCTGTAGCCTAGGAACGGCGTTTGTGCACAATATTCACTCTGCTTGTGGAGTTAGGTTTCTGCTGGGCATCTTTGAGTCGGGTCTATTGCCTGGAATTGCATATTACATGTCGAGATGGTACCGGCGCAGCGAACTCGTGTTTCGATTATCAACGTATATCGTCATGGCTCCCCTGGCCGGTGCATTTGGTGGTTTGCTTGCGTCAGGTATCCTTAGGCTTCACTCTCTTGGAAGTCTGCGTACATGGCGCATGATCTTTGTCATTGAAGGTGTTATTACTTGTGGTCTCGCTCTCGTTGCTTTCTTCACCATGACAGATCGTCCATCATCTGCGCGCTGGCTCAAAGATGAAGAGAGACACCTGGCCATTGCACGGCTCAGATCCGAGCGCGTAGGCACCACAGAAGTTCTTGAGAAACTAGATACTAAAAAAGTGTTACGAGGCATCTTCTCGCCCGTGACACTAACTACCGGGTTCATCTTCCTGCTAAACAACATTACCGTGCAGGGATTGGCAGTCTTCGCACCAACTATCGTACGGACAATCTACCCTCATAGCAGCGTTATCTCGCAACAACTGCACACCGTGCCTCCATACGTTGTCGGCGCATGCTTCACCCTCTTCTTCCCCTATCTAAGCTGGAGAATGGACCGGCACATGATGTTCTTCATACTCTCATCTCCACTTATGATTGTAGGCTACATCATGTTCCTTGCATCGGAGAACCCTCGTGTCCACTACGGTGCGAGTTTCCTCGTTGCCGCAGGCGCTTTCTCCTTCGGCGCGCTCTGCAACGCCAATGCTTCGGCTAATGTGATATCTGACACTTCCCGTTCTTCCGCTATTGGCACTACAGTCATGCTCGGAAACATCGGAGGTTTGATCAGCACATGGAGTTATTTGGCCTTTGATGCCCCCGGATACCATATTGGGAATGGGTTGAATCTGGCATGTGCGAGTGCTACCTTTCTGCTGAGCATCGGTCTATTGATGTGGATGAAGTGGGATAATGCAAAGCGAGAGACGATGGACGTGGATTTGCATGTAGAAGGAAAATCTTTGGGGGAGATACAAGCCATGGATTGGCGAAATCCAGCTTGGAGGTGGAGATATTAGGGGTGAGTAGTTAGACTTGGAAGCTACCTTGGTCTCTAAGTTGCCTCCAGGATCGGCCTATTGCATATCTAGGATGAGAGGGCGAACTAGGCATGTCCATATAACGTAGTAGTAAGTGAAATGACATGTCGAATTTAGGATTTGCTATGCTCGGATTGAAGTCAACATCACCATTCGATCATTATCTGACATTTTCTAGCCCTCTTAGAGCCTTAGACAACAACTTTTAACTTCAGGATTGAAAATCTTTCTGTCCAATACTGCGAAGCATGTGTGTATATATGTGCCTTTTATCGATCTTAATCACTCTGCGAAATTGCCGAACATGAAACGACGGCGTCAGGTACCCACAGTAAGCCAAACCTAAGCCACCTGCGCATGGGGATGGTTACAACTGGCTCGAATCAAAAATAAGAGTAGGCGAGGCTTTTGTCCCCCACCTGACATTCAAAATAGCGGCTTGACTAGCTTATTATTCATTGGAGCTTTCTACCAGTGAGCGGCGTAAGGTGGTATCTCGCTAACCCAGTATAGATCCCAGGCCCCAGTAGCTAGAGATATAAGGATTAGTTAGTTATGGCCTTGAATAAAATAATCAAGTAAGAAATTGAGACAGAGGAACAGCAAGCAACATGCCAAACCAGGCAGTGCAGTTCAAATGCCCAGACATATCCTAGCCACGATGATACATTAAGGAACGCTTGCAACAAAAATGTAGCAGTAAGACGTCAGAATGTCGCCGATTGTGGGAATTCTTTGCGAGCCCCAGTCTTAGGCCCAGTCTTGGGGACCAGGATAGACTTCTCTAGTAGGGCCTGTCAAGATGGGGCTGATACTATCGATTCTGAACTATATAGGTAGACCGCAGAGCCTTTGAAATTGATAAGAAACCATCGCCATTTTATTGAAGAATATCAGACATAGGGGGCAGTAAAGTACAATGCTTGCCACAGTCTTCTTCTCTCTCCTAGCCCTCACTGGCCGCTCGGCCAGTAAGGCCGTGTTTGCGCATTACATGGTACGTCTGACGAGCTTCATAAAAAAAGAAAAAAAAAAAAAAAGGCCTGTACTAAATACAAGTGTTATCCTATCAGGTTGGGTCAATGAACAGCAGTGAAGCTGCCCAAGATGTCACCGATGCTATCGCGGCTGGCTTCGATGGATTTGCACTCAACACGCATTCCATCAGCAGCTCTGATACATGGAACACAGATGCAATCACTTACCTCTTGGACGCAGCTGAGGGGACATCCTTCAAAATGTTCCTTTCTTTTGACATGTCGTGGGGACTCGATGTCTCTGGTCTCCCAGCATTTTTGCTGCAATTCTCCAATCATTCCCAATATTACACTACCGACGATGGCAGACCATGGGTGAGCACATACGACGGCGGTACCACCGATAACTCCGAGTGGGAGTCTTCCTTCTACCAGCCTCTCGTAGACGAAGGCGTCACTCCATTTTTCGTGCCTGATTTCGATGACTGGTCCGGCTATCCCACTGGCTTCTTTGACACCTTCACCGTTGTAGATGGCGCTTTCAGCTGGGAGAGCGCTTGGCCTAGCGCAGGCACGACACCGGCAAATGTCAGTGATAGCGTAGATTCCACCATGGTGGAAGATGCACATGCCGCTGGAAAGATATACATGATGCGTAAGTCTATCTCTCGTATCCAATATCCGTATCTTGAAGCTGACATGATCCAAAGCACTCTCCACGTTTCAATTCAAATACCTTGGCTCCGGCCAAGACTGGTACCGCATCGGCGAGACCAACCTCCCAGAACGCATGGCACAGATCCTCTCCCTTCAACCAGACTACGTCGAGGTGATCACATGGAATGACGCCGGCGAGTCGCACTATGTCGGCAATTTCTGGCCGCAACAGATCGCCGGCACTGACGAGGGTGACTACGCCGATGGTTTCGACCACACGGGCTGGCAGCAGGTCATCAAGCCGTTTATCACTGCATTCAAGAACAATGCCACAGATGTCTCGCAAATTTCGAGCGATAGTCCCGTTGGCACGTTCTGGTACCGCACACTCCTGACAAGTGCTAGTTGCTCTAGCACGATTTCGAATTACCAGGAGGCAGAAGACGCAGTTAACTATGCTGTGGTCCTGCCGTCTGACGACTACACGATCGAAGTGTATAGCAACGATCAGCTCATCGGCAGCTTTTCCGGCGTGGCTGGTCTTAACTATGACTCTGTGCCGGGTTTGCAGGAGGGCAGTGGACAGAGCATCCAGATCTTGGATGGTAGCGGTAATGTCGTTGCATCGGCCAACGGAACCAAGGATGTCCTGTCGGAGAGCTCGGATTCTTCAATGTGCAACTGGAACTATGAAGTTGTTGGGTTGTCATAATGGCGGCCGCGAATCTTTAGCTTAAAGTACTCTCTGTAGTCTTAGTTGGAGGAATTAATAGGCTCAATGTATGGGTGTAGTATTTAAATTGAACAAAGATGATGCCATATGATTTCTATTTTACTTCTAAGTATGCTTGTATAGAAAAAAAGGCAATTCATTTTTGTATACATCATTTTTTAAGACGCGAGAGACGTAACCAGAAGCACGGGAATATAACGAAAAACGACTATAGAAACTGTACAAAGGACGGGGAGGTTCTGGATCATATAGGATCGTGAGTAAAAATAGTTGATTTGCCTCTAGACAAATCAGTGTCAAAATCAGGGTGAGTTGTGTGAGAATTGACAATTTGCGACATGTTGCGAGTTCCGAAAACCAAGCTTTGCAGGATGTCGCATCGACAACAGAGACCCATCGAATTTTAAGGAGAGAAATGAATAAATAAATATTAGACAATAGCGTATTTGGTCGCTACTCTAAACAGAAAAGTCAAAAAAAAAAATTAACAAAGTCAAGCAATACTTGTGACATTTTTATGTGAGAGATCTCTGTCTTAGCCACTAGATAAGGGCCAAAACAGCGAGAGCACCAGCAAAAGCACCGGCTGTGCCAACCTTGGCAACCGAGGCACCGCCAGTATACTCAGGGCTGACTGCGGAAGTAGTAGTTGAGCCGGGCTTAGATGTGGAGGAGAAGCCGCTCGAGGCAGGCACAGTTGGACCGACTGGAGCAGGGCCAGTGGAAGTCGTTCCCTGTGGGTAGGGAGGAACCACGGAGCTAGTTTCAACAGGCGAGACAGAGCTTGGGACAGGAGCAGGAGCACCAGAAGAGACCTCGCTAACAGGGCTTGTGCCCGCTGGGACTGGGACAACAGTGGTAGTCTCACCAGTAGGGACAACAGTAGCGGTAGCAGTACCAGTTGGCTCAGCGGGAGCGGAAGCGGGGGTGGAGGTTGAAACGGCAGTCACGGTAATAGTGCTAGTACCTGTCACCGGGAAAGTAATAGTTGAGCTGCCACTGGTGGAGGTGCTGTAGGTCACTATGGAAAAAGTCAGTACAAAATGCATTACGGTAAGATCTGCCAGTAAGCCTTACCAGGGCAAGTTGTTGTCGTGTACGTGAGAGTGACAAGAACTGGCGTGGGAACAACTGTAGGCGCAGCCGAGGAGGTTTGTGGTTGGCAAACTTCCTTGGTGCAGGTGACGGTCTCGGTTACCACAATGCTGCTGGTCTCGGTGACAGGCTGAGTAATAGTGCTGCTACCAGAAGTGAACGTGGTAGTGTGAACTGGCATAAGAGTTAGAAACAACTTAGGAAATTGAGTGAGGTGAAAAAGATTATATACCTGGGCAGGTGGTCGTGGTGTAGGTCTGGGTTCTTGTGACCACCGATTCAGATGAAGTCTCAGTGGCTTCAGCCGATGTCGCGGGAACTGGGACAACCGTAATAGTAGAAGCAGGGGCAGTGGTTGCAGCAGGGACAGTTGAGGTGGCAGTGTGAGGCTGGCACACTTCCTTGGTGCAAGTGACTGTGGCTGTGACTACGATAGTGCTAGTTCCAGTATACGCTGAGGTAATAGTGCTGCTTCCAGATGTGTACGTAGAAGTTCCCACTATGCAAAAATTAGCGATGAGCGTAACAGTGATTTTTAGATATCTTAGGCTTACCTGGGCAGGTAGTTGTAGTGTAGGTAACAGTCTTAGTGGTGACGGACTCCGAAGTCGGCACAGATGTAGTCTCCGTAGCGCCAACTGAGCTTGGAACGGAAGCCGGTACAGATGTAGTCTCCGTAGCACCAACTGAGCTTGGAACGGAGGCTGGTACAGATGTAGTCTCCGTAGCACCAACTGAGCTTGGAACGGAGGC